GAAAAAATTTTTTTTTTCAGATTTTCAAAGGGTCAGATTTTCCGTTTTCCGGGGGGAAAATTGACTTTCGCCAAAATCGAATTTTTTAGCCGGGTGAACGTTGATTCCATCTATTTAAGCGACGGGCTATTCAGACCTCTCAAAACTATGTGGAAAAAGTAAAAACAGAAAAAATTTTTTTTTTCAGATTTTCAAAGGGTCAGATTTTCCGTTTTCCGGGGGGAAAATTGACTTTCGCCAAAATCGAATTTTTTAGCCGGGTGAACGTTGATTCCATCTATTTAAGCGACGGGCTATTCAGAACTCTCAAAAGTATGTGGAAAAAGTGAAAACTGAAAAAAAAATTTTTTCACCCCGACCCAAAGTGTCAGATGTTGGATTTTTTCAAGGGGAAAGTCGGTCAAAGGGTCACAAGGGTCACGAGGGCCAGTGTCAGATCTTGCATTTTTCCAGGGGGAAAGTCGACTTTCGCCAAAATCGAATTTTTTAGCCGGGTGAACGTTGATTCCAACTATTTGAGCGACGGGCTATTCAGAACTCTCAAAAGTATGTGGAAAAAGTAAAAACAGAAAAAAAAAATTTTAAGATTTTCAAAGGGTCAGATTTTCCGTTTTCCAGGGGGGAAAGTCGACTTTCGCCAAAATCGAATTTTTTAGCCGGGTGAACGTTGATTCCAACTATTTGAGCGACGGGCTATTCAGAACTCTCAAAAGTATGTGGAAAAAGTAAAAACAGAAAAAAAAAATTTTAAGATTTTCAAAGGGTCAGATTTTCCGTTTTCCAGGGGGGAAAGTCGACTTTCGCCAAAATCGAATTTTTTAGCCGGGTGAACGTTGATTCCAATTATTTGAGCGACGGGTTATTCAGAACTCTCACAAGTATGTGGAAAAAGTGAAAACTGAACAAGTTGTTTTTTCAGATTTTCAAAGTGTCAGATTTTCCGTTTTTCCAGGGGGAAAGTTGACTTTCGCCAAAATCGAATTTTTTCGCCAAGTGAAGAATGATTCTGTATTTATTGGCCCCTCTAATGCCAATTAATGGAATCTATTGAAGCATATCTCCGCTGATAAAACAAATACAGTCAATAGAAAAGACAATGGATGGATTTTCAATATATTTCGTATCCAAAAGATCTTGTTATTTTGTACAATTCAATAAAAATTGACAATTTCATTGCCTTTGGTTATGCGAATTTATACAGAGGTTTGTCTTTCCAAAATTTTTGAAAAAATGTGTGCAATAACAATTACGAATTAGTTTTTCAAAATTCAACTCCTACACAGCTAATTTCGTTTTGTTTAAAATAAAAATTTGCACCATTCATGTAAAATAGGCAGAAAAAATATCCTTAAAATATTGAAAATATATTCTCGATTCTTGCAGAACTTTTTCGGGCTAGTTTACATGAATGGCAATTTTTTATTAAAAAAATTACGAAATTAGCTGTGTAGGAGTTGAATTTCAAAACACTAATTCGTGATTGTTATTGTACACATTTTTTCAAAACTTTGAAAAAAAAATCTCTAGCTCAAAAATTGGAAGCCCTGGACTATTTTTAACATTTGAAGCGTCTGCGAGGCAAACGATCAATAAACAATTAATTCTTTTGCACTAATTATTCATTTTTAGACATATATAATCAATCTTCAACGTATGAGAAATCGCATGCCAATAGCCCGCGACCTTTAGCACTCATAGTAGTCTCTCCTTAAATTGCTTATTTTCTTCGTTTTTCAACAGCAATCAGAAACTTACTGAACAATGTAATGTGAAAGCGAATTCAGAATAACAATATTCAAAATCAATACGTCTCAGTTTTAGTGTCTCTAGCTGCATTACAATCTAATACGAAATAATTTCTCTTTAGACTTGGCGCATTGGAATATTGAGCTGTGGTGCAACAGTAGCAATGGTTCTGATAGTGTGGAAGCGATTGAAGCATATCCCCAGTGATAAAATGAATACGGTCAACAGAAAAGATGATGAATGTAAAAATAAAGTATCTCTAGCTGCGGAGCAAGTGTGTGGGGAGGGAACACAGGAAATCAAAGAATTACCTCAGCCTAGCTGGGCCAAAGTGGGAGAGATAAAGGAATTGTACTTTTATCCACTCAAGTCAGGTCGGGGGAGAGAGGTTCATGAGTGTGAGTTCACTGAATATGGAATTGCATTGGAGGATAAAGCAGGCTTGACTCTGAGAGACAGGTGAGTCACTTTAGTTTCATTCTGAATGAAGAAGTTCAGGGAATATAATTGCGAATGGAGAAAATTAGACTATGATGAGAATGTTTCCCATCCAAATTTCAGCTATAAAAAAAATAAAAGATCATTCAATCGAGTGAACCCGTCGTCAAAACTGACAGATCGATTTTGTCTCATTTTCAATTCTCTTGACGGAGAGAAATTAGTAGCGAAGTGGTGAAACGGTTTAAGTCGACTTATCTCCCAGCTGAGTTTTAGAGGAATATTTCCGAATCTAAGGGAGATAGCGGAATTTTCATAATTACATTTGTTGTAGCTCTCAATCGGTTCTACAAAAAAGGTTATAATGAAAATTTTGCTATCTCCCTTAGATTCCGAGATATTCATTGAAAACTGGCTAATAGTCAAAATTGACTTGAACCGTTTTACCACTTCGCTATACTGAAATGTTCACTAAAAATTACGGAACTCACAATTCGTTCACCAATTACAGAATCGAGTCAGAAAATTTAGGTGACAGTACATGGACTTTCGCGAAGACCGAATTAGTATTGTTCAAGGAGAGTCACTATTGTTATCTCTTTTGTCATTGCTCATATTCTCTTAATCATTTTTACATTCAAATCACGCGTAATTCAAAGAGAGGATATTCTAGATTAAGAAGTATAATTTTCTCCGGATTAATCAGTTGAAATGTTCCTTCATGTTGATGTCTTTCAGGATGTTTTTAGTATACAATGAGGACACCGGAAAGTTTGTAACTGGCAGAAACTACCCGACGCTGATCCTGGTGAGTCTCACCGCTGTAGACGACAGCCGAGTACGACTCCAAGCGACCGGAGTACCAAATCTGACGTTTGCGTTACCGAAATCTTCGAATGACCCATCGGCTGTCAACTGTAAAATGTGGTGGGGGGAACCGGTGAAATGTATCGATTGTGGACCGGCGCCTGCCCAATGGATATCGAAGTTCGATGAATAATCCAAGACATTTAAATGTGGAATTTTCAAAGGGAATGCTTTAATCATTGTGGCTTTTATCTGCAGCTTCCTAACGGGAACTCATTCAGGACTGAGGGTTGGTATCGCGTTGGCGGGGAGGAGGAATATACTGAAAGGGCCGTGGGAGAGGTTCACCAAGGTTTATGAGACACTCAGGAGTGAAGACACGGTGAATGGATTAATAGTTCTAATTGAGTAAAGGAGTGGTCCATCACGTCCGAAAAAATTTAATAGAAAAACCTAGCGAATTCGCTAGACAACTCTATTGCATATCTATTAGACATTCTGTTAGTTTTGGTCTCACCAAATGTTCATTCATTAATAGTTAACGAATGCATATTTGAGGAGTCTTGTTTGACTCATTTGTTAACTATTAACGAATATTTATTTGGCCATATTCAACTCTATCATTTGTTAATAGTTAACAAATCTCGTTTGAAATAAATCAATCATTCTATCAGTGTTGATCAAATTATCGTAAGTACGACGGTTCGCTAATTATTTTAGCCTCATCAGGCTCTGGCAAGCCAATAACACAAAGAATTATGAATCCACATGTAAACAAACTGAGTGTCATAACATAATCAATAAGTTCTCGTCTGCACTTGATATTCGGATTGACACAAAAACTAAAAAATAAATAGATATTAAATCCTACACCTTGACGTGATCAAAATCTATTCAGATTATTTTAATTTTCATTGTGTAGGAGAAATTTTCATTTATTTCATCTTATTTTGTTGGAAAAATATGTAAAAAAATATCTTGAATTGGCGCAATTTATACAAAAAAAATTATAAAACATACATTTATTATATCTTATACATATATTTATATGTTATATACTATATCTTATTATTTAGTTTTATTTTTTATATATTTTTTTATGGGGGTTGAGATATTTTCTGTAGAACTTCCTCGTTTCAAATTTTGCAAGTTATTTTTTCATTCCATTTTTCTATGCTTTTCATCAAGAAAATCAAATAAAAAAACTTGAAAAATTTGAGCTGAGGAAATTCTATAGAAAATATCTGAATAGTATTCTAAGCTGTATAGAAAAATCAAATTCTATTGAGTTTTTCTATAGAAAGTTCGATAGAATTCCAATAGGTCAGTCTAGCGAATTCGCTAGGTTTTTCGATGAAATTTTTTCATACGTGTCCTTATGTAAACAGAAACCCCTGGATAGACTAAATTATCTCCTTTCCGATTGCGAAAAGAATTATTTTCAGATCAGTAACCACTTAGTTTGAAAATTCTCTAGTCTTCTAAGGATCTAAACTGAACACAGAAATGTCCCGAACACGGAGAGAAATGTTCAGTAAAAATTACGAAACTCACAGTTCGCTCACCGATTACGGAACCGATTCAGAAAATTTGAGTGACAGTAGCGTAATTTTTCACAGGAGATTCAGGTAAAAATTACGAAATGGTCTGCAAAAATTCCGTGATTTTATGCAAAAGTTACGTGACAGTTCCGTAAAATTTCCTACAATCACATTTCGCTCCGGAATTCCGGAAAACATACGTAATTTTGATTGAATATTTCTCTGCGTGAATACGCATATACATATATTCCATTCATTTATGTATTAATTTTCCCATTTTTCTTCAAGGGTTTCTTCGCTGATTTAGCAAGCTACATGCTAATGTCAAAGTCCTCCCTAGACGAATTGAACCGAAAATTGAACAATCCCATCTCACCTCTCCAATTTCGTCCGAATATCGTGGTAGCTGGCGCTGAGCCATTTGACGAGGACAACTGGGAGTGGATAAAGATCGGTGACAACGTAGTCATCAGAAACGTGAAACCCTGTCCGAGGCAAGCTTCATTTTTTTCTAAAGACAAAATAACGAAATCAACACTGATAAGACTTCGGATTCGAAATACAATAGAGGGTTTCATGTTCATTGTTACGCAATTGACGTTCCAGATGCTCGATGATCGGAATCGACCCTCAGACTGGTGTGTTGAATGAGCAAGAGCCATTCAAGGTATTAAAATCATTCCGGGAGCAGACGGATGAGCGGAGAATCAAAGTAGATGGGAAGGCACCGGTAATGGGAATCTATTGTGGCCTGTATTCAACTGGAAATGTGAAAATCGGCGATGATGTCTTTGTTCACATGCCTAAAACCCTTTGTGCAACTCCTGTCTAATGTTTTAACGAAAAACTATTGAAAAAATCAATCAAAAAATCATTCTTTTCAATGAAAAATTTTCAATAGAAATTATTTTAGAGGAAAAATTAGAGGAATTTTACTTTTCTACATCACTTAATTGTTCTATAGAATTAATTAATTTTTCTATACAAATTTCCTTCGTTTGCGTCGGTACAGTAGGGAGTAATGCTTGGATCATGACGAGAATATTCACGCGACGGGCGGACGAGAGTGGGGGAGAGTGTCGAAGAGTGCGCAAGCGAGGAGAAAAAAAGGGGATTCCCCGGTTCCGTTTAGTTTTCACATTTCACTGTCGTTAGTATAGGAGGCGTAAGCATACCAAATTCAATGTTCAAATCATGATGTAACCTTGTCTACATTTTTATTGACACTTCTTCATCGATTAAGGTTTTTTTTCTTGTAACCATTCCATATTGTTCTTTGGAGTAAAAATGACATATCAAAATGGAAGAAGAGAAATTCGTTATCGACATAATGCAGTTGAAATGAACTACATTAGTTTATTTTTCTATTATGATATTCTCTTATGATTGTTTTTTATCGAGTGGAATTGAAATTGAAATGAGGAAGTGTGAAAACATGAAAAACCGATTACTATTTCGAGAACAGAAGGAATTCCCCTGACAGATCAGTCGATAAGGGGTTCGAGTTGTTCACGCAGTCGAGTGCTAGTCGATCACGGTTCGATCGATCGACCATCGATCAACCAACGATCGACGCGCAATCGACTTGCCCTAGTGGAAAAACATAAGGTGGAGGCGTAACATACCTGATCAGAATTTCGGATCGGACTTGATCAGTTTCTGATTGAGACCTGAACAGAATTTCCACTCGGGTGAATTTCAAGAGAAATCCAATGAATTTAAAAATAACAGCACCTTCAACGCGTAATCTTAAGCTCTTCTGGATACCCCCCCACTTAGGTATTCCTGGTAACGAAGAGGTTGACAGATTGGAAAAGTTAGCTAGTGAAGCAAATCGTCCTGACAAAAAGGATTCCGTTTACGGACTTCAAAGAACAATTCAAAGCGTCTTCCAAAAGGAATACGACTCAATTATTAAGAGAGCAAGGGGAAACGAAGGGCAGACGATATTTCGAGAACTTTTTCGAAGGATCCTCTAAGCCATGGTTCCACAACCGTAAAAAACTCCATCGACACACAATTGTTTGGCAATGCCCACGTTTTGATGGGCAGAGAAAAAAATGATATCGAAAGTTGTGAAATACAGTAACCTATATTGTAGAATGCTCAATATTCTATATGAGTTAAATCCCATTATTATTTATGCTATTGATAAGTTCTTCAAAAAATGTGATCTGAAAATCTGATGAATGCGGACCAATGATATACAGTGAAATATTTTAGATATTATATTTAATTCATAGCTAACAAACCTTGTAAATCGGTTTCTAATGCTGAATTAAAAAAAGACCCGTAATCGACCAATGATGTACCATCGATCGACTAACCCTCTACTAGTGATCTACCAACGATCGATTTGTCAGAGTCTGTGAAGCGAGAGCATTAATATATGCGAAATGGGTACATTCATACCTGAAGTATAATGTTCTTGACTCGAGAATTTTGTGCTGATTTTGGATTATTCGTGTTGCTGAATGGAGAGTATGGTATTCTTGATTTAGCAAAATTAAATTTTTCGTGAATATTTGGATTATATCGGCAACAAATTTCATTCGAAATTTCTGATAAACTTCTTTAAACTTAGTATCACATTATAGTTCGAATAATTTGATAATTCCATGAAAGTTCAAAACGTAGTTTCAACCTAATTATGCCACGAAAATTGATAGAAATCCCTGAATAATTCTGCGTAACTTGATACTCAATATTCCTACTCCTCAAAAATGTGAACTTTCATTCAATTTTCTCTAATTTCATAATTTTTTTCCACTGAATGCAACTCAGTATCACTTTTAAGGAAATTACAAGACAACTTTCCGTGAAATTTTTTTTTTTTCAACAGTGTATATGTCGAAAATTTTGTCACTGTTAAAAAATTAATTTTTCAATAAACACCGAACATGTTTTCTGGCAACAGAATAAGTATATCTCTCTTGTGAGCTATTTTTTTTGTATTTTTCCTTTTGAATGGCAGCTTTGTAACCGTTTGCTTGAAGATGATTGTAGAATGTCAATTGAAATTATAATTTCAATTTCCCTTCCCTCAAAATACCCGTCTTTTTTATTATTTTTCGAACTTCTGAGTTACTTCTGAGAACTGATTTTATTGCAATATATTATTGGCTTTTCTCACCTCTAAAATACCATAGAACTTCCTCCATTCCGAAAGAACACCTGCGCAATGTGTAAATATCCCAAGGGCATTTACAAAGGCCTTATGCATGTAATACCCATAAGTCAACGCATCAGTTCCCTTATACCAGTAAAACCAATATGAACATTACTCAAGTTCAAGTTTATACAGTCTAATAAGTTCGTCTAGAGTTAGTGCCTATGTAAATGTTTCCCTTCACGTCATGTAATTCCATCTCGACTCAAGAAATTTCACGTCATAGGAAAATAATGAAAATGTCATCGTATCGGAGAGACTAATCTGACATTTGAAATTCAACAGTTGATGGAACGAGTGATACACTCCATCTGTGCTGTCAACTGATTGTGAGTGTGCATTTAGAAAATAAAATGAATGAGTCTCGGAACAGGGTATACAAACCGAGAGGTCGAGGGGAAGTGAGCGATAAGAGGATAATGGGAGAGGGGCAGGAGGTCTCGGTTTGCTGTTCTTTTGATAGTTCGAGAGGGTCAGCGGCGGTGAGAGCACGCCGTACGGAATTATCAAAGTATGGAAGGAAGGACTGTCCTGGGTTACGTTTTCCTCGGTTTTTTAACATGTAGTTGTGCGTGGGAATATTACGAGAAGAGAAATGGCAAGTAATTTTTGGCGTAAATGAGTTGTTGAGGCATTTACGGAGTTTTTGCTTCCGAATGGAAGAATTGTATTCGTCAAATCCAAAATGTCCAATGTTTAGTCAATACACAATATTAGAAAATTACTCTTGAAATTTCAAGTGAAAAAGGTTAAAATTTTAGACAACGACAAAGTTACGTGAAATTTTTGTCTATTTCTTCACTGACAAATTAATTTTTGGTATAAATGAGTTGTTGAGGCATTTACGGAGTTTTTGCTTCCAAATGGAAGTATCGTATTCGTCAAATCCAAAATTTCCAATATTTTGTCGAGATACAATATTAGAAAATTATTCTTGAAATTTCAAGTGAAAAAGGTTAAAATTTTGGACAATGACAAAGTTACATGAAATTTCTGTCTATTTCTTCACTAACAAATCAATTTTTGGTCTAACTGAGTTGTTGTGGCATTTGCGGAGTTTTTGTTTGCACTGTAGAATCAATTAATTTCTCGAATATTCAAATAGTTCTCGATTTTCAAATCCATACGGCACTGAAAAACCTCGGAAATTTTGAAAATTCATGCAACAACTTTTCTTAATTCTTAATCTATTGAAAATTGAATTGTATGTGATGTTCAATTTTCACGATGAGTTTGAAAATTTCAACTTTCATTGAAAAATCAATTATTATTTAACACGAAAAACCCAATTTTCTTGAATTTTCAAGATGAATGAGAAATTTAGTGAAATTGAATTCAACCTCATAACACCGAAAATTCAGATGACAACTGTGACTGGAACTTCAAGATATTTCTAGCAGTGTAACTCATTCACTAGCGAAGCGGTAAAACGGTTCAAGTCGATTTTGACTATTGGTCAATTTTCAATGATTATTTTTTCAAATCAAAATTCGACCAATCAAAACGCAGTATTTGTGGTTACCCAATAGTTATACTTCAGATATTTCGTCCTAGATTTGGAATATTACGCAGTGGCTCTTCATATTTTTTATTTGAATATTTCGCAGCTAAGGTGAACACATCATTAGTCCAATATTTCTACTGAAATGAGTGTAAAGATGCGACGTTTTAAATTCCATATCAGAAAGCGAAAACTTCAGAATTAGAAGTAACTTATATTTTTATTTGATAATTATAATAGTAATTATCATGATAGTTACTATTTTTTAATAAATAATCGTCGATAAACGTGGAAAGTCCGATGATCCTACACTCGCTCATTTGTCCGCATGCACGTTTGACACATGTCCCTATCCTTGTCTTGTGATTTGAATGATAGGAAAAAGTAGCCTTATATTCGCCAGAATAGTTGCTCATTGCTTATTGTCGAAATCTACTATATTAATGGACTCTATTAATTTTTGCTTCCGAATGGAAGCTTTGTATTTAGTCCCTAATTACTTGCCACAATCGACATTAAGCCTCGAATTCCATTCAAAGGTTTGAAATCATGAAAATAAAGCACAAAAAACATGCTCTAGGTTTCCAAAATACCGTCGGCCATTTAAAGCCCCGGACTTCTCCACAAGTCCAAGCGGAAGCAGCAGCTGACTTGATTTCCCGAATAATTGGCAAGAATTCCAAACTTTTCGCCGTCTCAATCGATTCTACGATAGGGCCTGAGGGACGGGATACTTTCAAGGTACGAAATCAGGGATAAGAAATATGATTGGAATTGTAAAATACACGTATGAAAAAAATGAAAAAGACAATTTTTGCCGACTTCTTAGTCAATTTTTCTGGAATTCCATTAGAAATTCCATGAGTTTTTTCCATTTGATTAAACATTCAATAGTAAGACATTGTTGGATAGGAAAATTCACAGAGAAAAAATGAATCTTATTTTCAGGGACATATCACTGATTTTCTGAAATTTAGCCCCCGTTATACTGTTGAAAAAATTTGACTGAATTTTCCGGAAAAAGACTTTGAATTCGATTTAAGGAGAGTAAGCTAATGGAATTTCAAGTTTCTCTGAAAATTGAAAGTAAAGCCCCATTTTTTTAGCAGCAGGATGACGGAAATGTCACAATTTTCATGTATTTTCAAGTGAAAATGAATATTCACTGCCAAATTCCCGGAAAATTCAGCGGAATTTTGAATTCAAGGAGACATTCCTCGAAATTTTTCTAATTTTCCGGAATAATTGAACTGAAATTTACAGTTCTCACTACCATTCCTTGAAATTTCAGTGGAAATGTTACTTCTTAGAAATTTCTAAGACTCTTATCGGGAATTTCTGTGAAAATTATCAGCAGTGTATTAGAGATTCGCAATTGTGAAATTCAGTGATTTGGTCACCAATTTTTAATGATATTATCACTACTTTCTAGGTTATTATCATTAATTTATCATTTATTTTCAGAGTAATCTCACTAATTTTCAGGGACCTATCTCTAAGTTATGGGAATCAATCATCAAACTTCACTGATATAAATCACTGATGATAAGGGTCACTCCAGTCATTGACCAGTGTCACGAATAATTGGAGATGGATTCCTGGAAATCAATGTCATACTGATTTTCATGAACATGTTACTGATTTTCAGGAACTTATATCCAATTATTAGGGATTCACAATTGTGAAATTGAATGAATTCATCAATTTCAAGTGAGATTATCACTAATCTCCGGTGACATCGCCAATAATTTTCAAAATAACGTCACCGATTTTCACGGACCCATCTCTCATTTTTAGGTATCTCCAAATTTCAGTGATAAAAAGCACTGATAGTCGTGGTCATTCTAGTCAGTGTCCAGTGTCACCAATAATTTAGTACCAAAGCGGTAAACCGAGTCAAGTCGATTTTGACTTTTGGTCATTTTTTAATGAATATCTCAAAATCTAAGAGAGAAAGCAAAATTGTTCTCATGACCTTTTTTATGGAGCCAATTGAAGGTTATAAAAAAGGTCGTGACAAAAATTTTCCTATCTCTTTTAGATTCCGAGATATTCGCCAAAAACTAGCCAATAGATAAAATCGACTCAATTCGGTTTACCGTTTCGCTACTGAATTGAGGATAGATTTCCGGAAATCAATATCTAATATGAATTTTAGAAACATGCAAGTGATTTCCAAGAATATGTTACTGATTTTCAGGAACTTCTCCAATTATTAGGGATTGGCAATTGTCCAATTCAGTTTGTGCAAAATTCTGAAATTGAGTGATTTTGTTACCAATTTTCAGTGACATCACTAATTTCCAGTGCCATCGTCATCAATGTTTCGAATAACGTCACTGATTTTCAGAGAGCCATCCCCAACTGCTAGGTATCGCCGAATTTCAGTGACAAAAATCACGGATAATCATGGTCATTCCAGTCAGTGTCCAGTATTCCCAATAATTTGTGACAGATCCCTGAAAATCCGTAACATATACCTGAAGATCAGAACTTTCTTCTTCTGCGCATTTTTGGGAAAATTTCAATCATTTTTCTTTACGTAGCTTTCGAAGAGCAAGCTCGGAATAATAGATATAACCGCAACCACCGGAGTAGCAGCAGCTTGGGGTTTCCACTTCTACCTGAAGCACTATTGTAACGCCCACATTGCGTGGGAGGGCATGCAAGTAGAATTACCCAATACACTACCCGAAGTTAATGTAACGGTGACATCAAACGACAGGTGATCGAGAGTTTATTACACGATTAAATAATCGATGAAGCTGTAGCTGATGACCTAACACGATTACTCAACTTCATGCTGCAGATTTCGTTATTACCAAAATGTGTGCACCGCTGGATACAGTTCAGCATGGTGGAGCTGGGAGCAGTGGGAGAAGAATATCGACTGGATGGCCCTGAATGGCATCAATTTGGCACTGGCATTTCATGGTGAGGAGGCGATTTGGCAGAGAATCTATCTCGAATTGAATATGACGAGGGAAGAGGTTGACGAGCACCTCGGAGGGCCGGCTTTTCTCCCCTGGTAAACGGACAATTGTTCGACTGATTCGATTCATGATAATTGGATGAAAATTTTGTCATTAGGACGAGAATGGGAAACATCAGGGGGTGGGGAGGACCCCTGCCGGCTTCTTGGCACGAGCACACTATTTCTCTCCAGCACCAAATACTGGATAGGATGAGGCAGCTTGGAATTATTCCCATTCTTCCCGCTTTTGCTGGACACGTTCCAAGGGCTTTTGCTAGGATTTTTCCAGAGGCCAATATGACGAAAATCGGGAGTTGGAATGGGTTTGAAGACCAGTACTGCTGGTAATTTTTCGTTTATTTTCGTTTTTTCAGGTTCGAAAAATTAATTGCAAATGACGAAATGTAATAAAACATTATTGTCGCTTTGGACTGTTAGAAATTTTTCGAAATTTCATAGAAAAGGTGGTCTTAATTCTCATGAGGGTGACATTGAATCTGCTTAGGGGAAAAATGGTTATGAATTTTCACGTTTTAGGGAGAATTCAAGGAAACTCAGGAGATTTCGGTGGCCGTGAGACGAAAATTTTCAGAATTTGACTGAATTTTCAATGGAACATGAATATTTAGAAACAAAATTACATGAATTTTCACTTTTTCCGTGAATTTTCATGTTTTTTGCGAATTTTCACGGAATAATTGAACTAAAAAACCAAGTATTTTATTAATTTTCAGATCATTCGAACAGAAACCAATGGAATATTGGATTTTTCAATAACGAGATTTCCCGAAATTTCAGTGGAAATTAAACACGATAAAAATTTCCGGGATTTCACACTATTATGTAGCACCTTTATTCGAAAATTATCACTTGAAAGTAGAATGAAACATCAAACCGATAATGAAAATTGGTATCAGAGAGCCTGTCTATTTCTCGAAAATTCCGAGCTCATAAACTAAAATAGCAATTGAATTATCAAATTATGAATCATAATTTTTCACCCTAGCCCATTATTGGTGGAACCAACAGACCCCCTCTTCAGCCTAATTGGCCAGAAGTTCTTACGCGCGGTAAGTTGAAAAAATTGTAGGATATCTGATAAAAGCGACCCAGTACCTATTTTCGATTCTAGTACATAGAAGAATTTGGAACTGATCACGTCTATAACTGCGACACTTTCAATGAGAACGAGCCGTTGAACACTGGATTGGAATCCCTCAGGAACATCGGACAGGCTGTGTTCGCTAGTATGACCGGGGTTGATCCGCAGGCGATATGGTAGGTACTCACTGCCATACACTACAAAAACCAGGTGTCTGACAGCTATCTGAATTCAAGATGTCAGATGGTAAAAAACGTCTGAATCTTCGAAAGTGTCTGAAAATCTGATTAATGTCTGAAAATTTCAACCACCGTTTCTGTCTGAAAATGATGGTAGACATATTTTGTGTTTGAAAAATGTCAGGTATTTATTTTCAGATATTTTCTGTCTGAAATTCAGTTATTTATGAACGATTGAAACATTTCACTATTAAGATATCTCACCTGATTCAGACGGCAAAGTCCATTCAAACATTAATTTCTAAGATATTTCTCATGTCTGAAAAGTTGACTAATCCATTGTAAAAACCAGGTGTCTGACAACCATCTAAATTTAAGATGGCAGATGGCAAAAAACGTCTGAATCTTTAAAATTGTCTGAAAATCTAACTGATGTCTGAAAATTTCAAACACCGCTTGTGTCTGAAACTGATGTCTGTATCTTAATTTCCGGCATCTTGGTGTCTGAAATTGAAATACCTCCATTGATTCAGACACATTTTAATGACTCAAAAGTGTCTACAAAATCGTCCCAAAAGTATCTGAAATTCAGACATTAGTTTTCGCAGTGTAGTGTCAATCCAATATGAATAGTGGATTTTCTTTGAAGGATTATGCAGGGCTGGCTTTTTGTCAACGCTATGGAATTTTGGACTGAGCCCAGAGTCGAGGCATTCATCACATCGGTTCCAATTGTATGTATTAATTAATAATCCTCAAGGATTATTTATTAATTGAGAGGGAATAGTATGTTTCGATACAAGTCACAGATGAAAAAATATATATTATATACAGAAATATATGTTACTTATACCCGCTTATATGTGGTATACTTTCCGGCAAAAAATGCAATATTTGAGATACATGTTGGATATTTGGGTGGACTTATACAGTGGTTACTCCCTAACATTTCAGTCGGAGAAGTTGACTTCCCCCACCATCGACAACGTAAATGTGTTGGGTAAATCTGTGGATTTCTCTGCGCGACGGGGCTGCGCAGTAAAATTACTCTCGGCGTGTGAGAGTGAAACAGGCAGATTCTATTTCTCTGTTTATCTCTTTCCTAGCTCCGCCTCCAACGGAAGAGTAAGGGCTTCCCGAAAATTTAATTCCTTGAATTCTGGCCCCAGCGGCTGAAATGTTAGGGAGTAACCACTGTATGCCACCGGATATACATAGCATACACGTGGAAAACTGGCATTTCCCCTTAGGTGGGCGGTACAGGCACACCCTCCCCTACATCTTTAACTGATTTGACATGCACGCTCCAAAGCGGTCTGCACTTCCTCCACTTCCGTAACCCACTGCTCCGTTTCCTCTCATTACTTTATGCGTAGGCATGAGGTCCTACGACGTCACACTAAATCAGTCACACAATCTCCGCATATGCCCTACATCTCACTCATATTCTTCCGCCTACACTATGACATCATATTCGAAAAGCTCTCGCTACAAATTCGAATAATTTATGTGGGTATTCATTTCCACCTTTTATGTTATTAGGGTAAGATGATCGTGCTGGATCTCCAATCAGAACAGTTTCCACAATATTCGAGGCTGAAGTCCTATTATGGGCAGCCATTCATCTGGTGCATGCTCCAGAATTTTGGAGGAACATTGGGAATGTTCGGGTCAGCAGGAGTAATTAACAAAGTAAAACATTGTCTCTAGTGTTATCAATAAGTCAAGACGATATGAATGATCGATGACAAAATGTTCCAGGTTCATGTATGCCGTTTGAATGATTATAGAATAATGATTATTTTATCTAATCTAATCTCGATCAATCAGAGTGCAGTGTTCGGAGTCACATCACATTTCACACTGATAATATCCCCGGTGGCAGGGAAATTATCAGACCGATAATTTCCCTGTAGCCTGTTAATTGTTTTCCACTGATTTGACCGATAGTACTCATATTTTGGTGGAAATTGTCCTGTAATCTCGAACACTGCAATCTGATCGGCCGAGATCAGCATGAAAGAAATAATCCTACGAACAGAACTTCCTTGTCCTGAATGAAATTTTATTCAGCAAAACCCTCTTTTCCATTCCACTTTGATCCTCTACAGACGCACTATCTAACCAATTCTGATGCCCTTACATGAATTTGGAGTATTCTCTCCTCATTCACAATTTTCCACAATTCCATTGCACGATTTCGTGGACTTAAAATTTGTCTGTAACTTCGAAAATTTCCTCGAATTTTTCATAAAATCTGGCAATTTTCTCTAGTCTTTTTTTTTTACACAATTCGAACGTGTTACTTCCACATAATTTTTATAGTGAACCCACATGGATTTTACTACAATATTTTCTTTCATTTCTTTCGTAATAGCCAAGTTAGTCTGTGCATAGATGGAGGATATCAACTGGTAGACATTATTGTCGATTCTTTTCTCATTTCTTATTTCAGCCGAGAAATACGCTTTGAAATTCGGGCTTATTTTCGCAAAAATCGCTAATGAAAATGTCTATTCACAGTACTCATTTTTTCAATGCCGTCTGTCGCCGTTCCCCCGGAAGCTTGTTCTCATGTCTTTTTGAATGTCTTTTTTGATAAAGGATTCGATAATTAATGCAGATTGCACGATTCACTTTAACTTTCCATCACTTATCCTTCAGATTCACAATATATTGTTTAAATATGTTCATGATGTTTTTCTAGCGAATTTTTGACGCAAGAAATATGAAAGGAAGTACAATGATCGGGACAGGCTTGACACCAGAGGGAATAAACCAAAACTACGTGATCTTCGAATTTATGAACGAAATGGCTTACAGAAGTGAACCCGTTGATCTCAACGCTTGGTAAATCCTCTTTTGCACATTAATAGTCATCCCTGGATTTATGCGACTTCTTTCAGGTTCGAAAACTACGCGACAAGGCGTTACGGCGCCTGGAACGAGTACGCGACGGAGGCCTGGCGTGTTTTGGGAAGAACTGTTTATAATTTTGTTGGCATTGAAAGGATTCGAGGACATTACGTTCTCACGAGACGACCGAGTTTGAATATTAAAACTTGGGTAGGTGATGGCATGAGCATTCACCATCAATTTGAACATTTCAGAAATTTCTTCGGATCCTTCTCAACTGAAGGATCGAATACATTCACTCACATATTTATCAATTGACTCATTCCTTGACTGAATATTCAGTTGATTGCTCAGATCCAAAAGTTAAAGGAGAACTTTCCACTTCGAAAAACACCCGCTTCAATACTCTCGAAGGAAAAGAATCGGTCGTGAGTAGTGTGGCTTGAAGCAAACTGTAAAAGATACTTGTATATCCTTATAGTAGATTTCAATACGAGTGCATAAAAGTATTTTTTGACCCGTGGGAGCTGGGCCGGGCAATCTCCCAGCAAAGCTGCTGGGAAAGTCGGAAGTTCTCTCCAAATTTGCCTCACAAGACCGCCTAACTACCTTCCAGCATTAAATATTCAAAGAGAATTAGAATTTAGAGAGAAAAAATCCACACCGCCGAAGCCGGGATTCGAACCTGGGTTTTCCAGTTACACGCCGGGTACTCTCCCATTTAAACTACCGGGAACTACGGAAGTTCTCTCCCTAATTCGCCTCACAACACCGCCTAACCACTTTCCGACAGTAACTATTATTAAAAGAGAATTAGAATTTAGAGAGATAAAAATCCGGCACCGCCCCGTCAGGATTCGAACCCGGGTTTCCCAGTTACATGCCGGGTACTCTCCCATTTAAACTACCGGGAACTACGGGAGTTCTCTCTCCAAATTTGCCTCACAACACCGCGTAACCACCTTCCAGCATTAAATATTCAAAGAGAATTAGAATTTAGAGAGGAAAAAATTCACACCGCCCAGCCGGGATTCGAACCCGGCGCTCGCCGAAAGCGATTGCCTCCCCTCCAAGCATCGAGGAACACTTTTGCCACGAGTACGTGGAAAGTGGGACTTTGCGCACGCGGATCGTGCGTAAAATTTGCCTTTACGTACAAGTGATGAAAAATTATTTTCATTACGCTGTGACGAAAAGTGAACTTTTCGGCACGCTCCGCGTGCCTAAAAGTCCAATTTCCGCCACATTGTGATGAAAAATATTGTTCGTAACTCGTGAAAAAATGTTTTTTAGCTCGTGGGATTATATCACTCGCCTTCGGCTCGTGATATAAACCTCCCACTCGCCAAAAAACACTTTTTTGCACTCGTTACGAAATATACTATTCTTCGCTAGACCGACTGTAATGGTTAGATGCGTGAGCTGTTGCTCCGGCGGACATCCAAGCTAAGTAGCGTTGAGCTGGGTTAGTACTTGGATGGGTGACCGCTTAGGAACACCTCGCTCGCACAAAAATTGCGGGCGGTGGGTACGGTGTAGCGGCCTAGTGTCTCCATCTAGTCAGTGTGACAGATGGATATATTAGGGCACTGCACAATCGGCCGGCTGTGCGACTGGGGTTTTACATGGTTTCCCGTGCAGTCCTAGCTCGAATGGGGCACAGCTAAGAGTAAGACGGCCATGATATCGCAGATAACAATGAGAGGAAAAAGAAAAGGAGGGGAGGCAGGCTAGAGGAGGGGTGTCAAATCGAGAATTACTTCGATAAAACCAATGAAATAGAAAAAATGAAAAAAAAAATTATTTCTTCACTTTTCTGTAGCGTTATGTTTCACGCTATCAAATTCGTTTTGTGCTTGAAATCGACAGAATGTCATCCATATTACCGAAGTATCCATAACCCCATATCAACCAATTGAGCCCTTTTCATGCGGACGTCCACAATTGATCAACTTATCATTTTGAATAAAAATAAAAAATATTTTCCCAGAGTTGGTACGATCCACAAGCAGTTTGGAACGCCTGGAGCACCTTCCTAAAAGCTCGTTACGGAAGAATTAACAGTACCCTATACAATCACGATCTAGTAGATATCACGAGACAATCTATTCAACTGCAAATCGATGATACTTACGTCGACTTGATGAGAGCGTACTCAATGAAAAATTTAACAAACTTCAGAAACCTCTCGAGAGACTTTCTGGAGCTTTTCGATGATGCTGAGCGCATTCTCTCAACAAGTGAAAATTTCCTCTTGGGGAAGTGGATCGGGGAGGCAAGATCACTGGGCACCACAGAGATGGAGCGTCAATTGTACGAGTACAATGCTCGTAATCAGATAACATTGTGGGGTCCGAATGGTGAAATTAGAGACTACGCGAATAAACAGTGGTCTGGCATTGTGTCGGATTACTTCAAGCCGCGGTGGATCATATTTTTGAAGGCACTGGATGACTCGTTGACTCTTGGAAAGAAATTCAATGGAACTCTCATTAATCAGAGGATGTTTGATGAAGTTGAAAAGCCGTTTACGTTTGCAAGAAAGCATTATCCTAGCGAATCAAAAGGTAATTCTATGATTACGAATTGCTAATCAATTAAATTCGATCATGCCAACATTCTTCTTTTTCTGTAAACTAGAAAAGAGAGCGCGTTTCGCGCACATCAATTGTCTACTAGTTTACACATATTACTTATGATCGTTATGTGGTCATTTATTCAGTAAAAAAGGAGATGATATTCACTCTTATTGTATTTAGATTTGCGAACAAATTTGAAACTTTTCCGACGAACACGTGAATAAGAAATGCTTGTTTACAATTTTTTCACGTAAAAAGAAGTATCATTTATTATTATCATTATTATTTATTTATTTATTTAAATAATAGAAAAAATATTTTTTATGATAAGTATTTTTAACTTCCCGACCCAAAGGGAGGAAGTTATTTTTTTTAGTAGTGTTCGTGTTCAAGTCATGAACATTTTACAGGATTCATACATAATCTGATTCATTATGGGAAATTCTGATCCCAAGGGTTTTATCCTTAACAAACGAGATATTTGACGCAAGATATTCATTTTGTGATATTATGTCGATTGTGCGCTCAGTGTGTGCTTTTGTTATCCCTAAACACTTTGAAAATTTTTTCGAGAGTAGAGAAAAAAGTATACTCATGGTGTTAATGCAAATTACGCCGGTTCACGGTTACAAATATCAGGCTGAATTTTTCGAATAAAATTTGAATCCGAATTAAATCCCGCAAATTGCAGCAAGTGACATTGAAATTTGACCACTAAAATTTCAGGAAATCATCATCGAAAAATCAAGTATTTCATTGATTTTTTCATAATTTAATAAGAAAATCGATGGACGCTGTGAATTTTCATTGAAAGATTTAGTGAAAGTTCGAAAAAATGAGAAAAATGCGGGTAGAAATCAACTAATTCAGGTTATTTTGGTCCTGGACATTCATGATCAATTGAAAATTCTTGTAAATGATGAACTTTCCATCTCATTTCGCCTGAAAACTTATGGATTTACTAGAATTTTAGCTAAAACTTCAAATTTTATAATTCTATTTTTCCTTTGAATCAAATTCTTCTCTTCTCGGGTGAAAAATACGGCCAGATTACCCATGGAATTTCAGTTTTGTGACTTCATAGTAACAAAATCTTTACTAATGAAATTGATTCGCCCTGTTCAACTTCTAAAACCCCTTCACTGGCGGATGATTTGATATCGAATATAATAATAAAGAGTGAACTGTTTTCATTAATTACTATATTTTGTATTTCTTCTAGGTGACGCAATCTCCGTTGCCCTTTCACTAAGGAAAAAATGGAGTCAATCCGAGAGATTATGCCCAAATAAACGGCGAAGAAATGCGAAATTACGAGGATGACTGAATTATTATTCCACTTACCTGACTTCGAAGGAGAAATGAACCATAATGTAAAAGTGATGAACATCAAGGAATAATTTACACTTAAAAAGAAGAAAGAATAGCAATGATTTAAGATGGGAAAATTTTTAGAAGAATTATTATTAAATATCCATTGCATTACAATTTTCAATTACAATAAGAAATCTTTTTATAAGTTACATAGGAATTAAAATAACCACTTCTATTGTGAGCTTTCGACGTTTTTGGCTTTCATTTGACAACGACTTCACACAATGCAAAATTGATTGTCTGTCATGTGCTAAGAATTGAATTTCAAGTAGAATGTGAATATGAAGATTGAAAAATTTTCATTGAAGCTCGAAAAGGCTGCCTATCATCTATATCATGACACACAAAGAGTGGAATGTGCGCACCGCATATCAAAGTCAATGAATTATTTTCGACATCAGGAGGAATTGATCTGCAGAGTGCATAGAATTTCGTATATAAAATATTTTGTGCATCATTTGGTAAGTGGCTATCACCTAGAGTGAACATATTCACTACTTCACAACATATTCACCCCATGAAAATTTCATATTCCATCAAATGATATTGTTAAGTCTACGGCTAACGACTGGGCCAATATTAACAAGCAATCGAATTTTATTTCAATAAAAAATGCACTGGCCCCAAATTCACTGCTTAGAAATCTCACGCTCTACCTCATTAATATACGTTAATATCTGCAATGAGATCTCGATAAGTCAGTCAACAATGGAAGAATAATAAAATTAATTTATTGCTTGAGGAAAAAATCGAGAGGAAATTCCATTCGATCAGTTTTTAGTGCATTTCCATTCTTTTTATTATGAAAATATGTGATGAGAAAGAATTTGATAGAAAAAAAATGAATGGATTTTTATTATTTCTTCTGAATTTGTTCATAGCCATATTTTTTCCACTGTGTCTATTCCATATTTCGTTAAACAGTAGAGGGGAAAAATATAAATTTCATGTCAAACAATTCCTGTAGGACAATGAAGAAGAATCTTTCTTTAATAAAATCATAATTGATTAATTTATTTTAAAAATAGACAAAATACTAATGAATGCACTAAGAATTCCTCTCGATGTTTTCCGCAAGTGCTGTGACATTGAGAATGAAAAATTCATGAAGCGAGTTCTAAGTACTGAGCAATATCCAAAATGTCAGTTATTCATCGATAGTAAATAATCTTTGCTTCTTAATTCTACCCTTAAGTCCCGTAAATAAGTTTACATGGTAATAACCCTGTCTATCACATGAAAGTTTCACTCAACGCAGATCGCTGATCCTAATGTATTTTTTAAATAGCGTTGTCGCGTCATCAATTTCAGCCTTTTGCTATCCAACTAGACGCATTCACAACTCGAGCGATAAAATATGACAGAATTGATTCGTTAGTGGAGGATATTTTCTGTGGATTCGAGAATATTTTGGTCATTATATCGAAATTTGATAAATATTCAGTGTTAAGATTTTTTTCGTGGGAGATTAAATTTGATTATTAAATATCGCAGTGGTATGGATTGGGAAAATCATTTATAAGGGGTGCAGTAACAGCTCCATCCCAAGCAAGTTTTCGGTAAACAAGTCTATTCGTCTGTAAGTTTATTTTAATAACTCTACCAAACATGGAGTCCACCGAGTAATCCATATCTTACTCTATTATATATATATATTCATTGGTGGAGATGATGGTGATAGAGCTGCAATGGCTTGAGAAATCAGACTAGCCATAATCATCGATAGAGTTATCATTACCATTCTGCTTCCGAATGGAGACATTGCATTCGTCAAATTCGAATTTTTCAACTTCTTACCGTTCCCTGTTGAATTCAATTTAAAATACATCGTCATAGAAATTCCATTCGGAAGCAAATTGCTAATTTATTAGCAAAAATATACTGACCTCGATGTTCGTTATAGTTGTTATGATAGACCTGAGCATGGACAGACTTGTTAACGGGAGACTTGTTTCGGATAGAGTGCTTGTTGAACCGGAAATATCATTTCTAAAGTACATTACTCATTAACTCGACTAAACTCTAGTTACTGTGGTCCCTCTAGGTCTCAGTAATGACCACCGATAATTGCCAATTCAGATTGGCTAATGAACGAGTCAATGCACTTGCAATTGCTCGAATTTTCTCTCTTGTTTCATTATCTCGTAACATTTAACTACATATAATTGTAGGAATTAAAAAACACTCTTCATGATAAATCATTAATTAATTCAAATTTTTGAATGGACAAGCGGATTGCGACCTGTCAGGGTTTGCTCGATTGAGCTGCAATTTCAGGTTTTCATGTCCTCCATTCACTTACGATTTATAACAACAATTAAATCATATTTATATATTTACACTCAAAATCATTCATAATCTGAGAAAAAAGATGAATCTATTAAAGAATTGAATGAATTGGAAATGATTCTCAATCATTGCATCGATAAAATATAAAATAGACAACATTATTATTTCAGACATAAATATCTTGATCATTTGGTACGCTAGAATGATAACTGTCAATTCACTGGCAACAAACAACTATATTTTATTTACCCCTTTCTTTCAATCCTGGATTGATTTAATAGTGCAGTGGTAAAAATAAACATTTTTGAATTTGACGTATTTATTAATTTTGCCTTCACTTTGAGAATAACTAATTTTATGTAAAAAAATTCTATATTGGAATGCTTTATTTTCGGCTAAATGAATTAAGAAAAATGTTCCTTGCAATTATTTTCTGAAATTCCTGACCATTAACATCACTTGAGATAATTTTTTTTTTTTGAATTATTTTCAGCACAATTTCATGAAAATTAGGAAGAATTTTAATCCGAATTGCAACAATAGATTATCGAAAATTTTGCATGGGTTTTATTTTTGAAACTATTTGAACCGTTAGAAAACATTTCGAAAAACGAAAAAAGGGAAGTCTTCTATGATGATTCAGAAAATAATTGAAAACTTGCCCATATTGAAAATTAAGAGCTTTTCCATGGATCATTGATAAATAACCAATTTTATACTGTAGAAATTATTTAGCCAAATTCGTAATCAATTTATTTCTGTTCAGTATGTTCCGAGAAATCTGTTTAATGATGGAAAAAACAGATTTCAAGTTCAACCAATCTCTATTACCTATTCATAAAAAGAATTTTTTTTAAACTGACGCATTCTAAAATGTAATTGGAATGATGCTGATTACCTATAAATTTTCCCTGGTTTCTCCCACGCCTATTCATTAAAAAAAAATTTATAATTGAAAATCTCTCAATTAAGGGGATACCAAACTGAAATTCCGGAATCGCTGGTGCCTTAAGCTATCGTGCCGATGTGTTTACTACTTCAGTTTTAATGCGAAAAATAATAAAAAATTAGGTTTTGATTTTTTTATTCATCAGACTGAAGCTTTAAAGGAATTTGGCAAACAATTCTAACCATGGGCTTCCCGCGCACTTGCGAGAGCATTGTAAGAAAGTTGATGGGATCGCAACACGTGTCTGTGAATATACAAAGAAAAGATTTTCATATTTATTGGGCACCAACGTTGGTAGCCGAGTGGGCCAGACGCAAGTCCGATGTGCTGAAGGTTGCGAGTTCGATCCCAAGTGGAACCGAATTTTTCAACCTGACGCTTTGACGAGTGGGAGGTCGCTAAACAGTAACCGCCTGTATGTGAATGCGATACAGTGTAAAATCCACAGCCGCATGAATAGTGTTAGATAGAGTGCCAACCCGAGTGGAAATTCTGTTCAGGTCTCGATCAGAAACTGATCAAGTCCGATCCGAAATTCTGATCAGGTATGTTGCGCCTCTGCCTTATGTTTTTCCACTAGGGTTTCTCCGCCTTCCATCATTAGGCATTAATTAAATTTAATTTTTTGAGAGAAAAAATTGGTAACTTCCTAGCCGGGAATCGACCCCGGGACCTCCCAATGTCGCGTCAGGTGCTCTTACTATCGGAGTTACCAGGACACTTACGAATTTCACTCTCAAATTGACTCATACCTGAGTGGAAATTCTGTTCAGGTCTCGATCAGAAACTGATCAAGTCCGATCCAAAATTCTGATCAGGCATGTTACGCCTCTGCCTTATGTTTTTCCACTAGGGAAATGGGACGCGAAAAGGGACTCGAAGGCCATAAAAACATTTTCGTCACTCGGCCCGATAAACGGCGCTTACTCGGGCTCTGTCGAGAGGGGGTAAAGAGAGTTTACCGCGGCACTTGAATAATCGGTGCTCCAAGGAGGGTAAATGAGACGCTCGGTGCTCCAAGGAGGGTAAATCTCACTTACCCATCCTAGGAGCGATAAAGTGGGCGTCACCATGTGCCCTGACGTTCCCCCCACTTGGGCATGCGCTCTGCGTTCGGGTAAACGTATAGTCGGATGAGCTGTACAGCGCCTCTAGCGGCCTTCTCTACAACTTAACCCACTAGTGGTAGCCATGTTGTTGTGTGTCATTGAGAAGATTTATCATTAGAAAAAAGTCACTCTCCGAGTTTTTGTTCAATTTAAAGTTGATATTTTTGTTCAAAAAACAACAATTTCTAAAATATCAGTATTTATAACGTCGACTTCTGTTCTTAATAAAAGAAGAAAAATTGAACAGCTGAGTATCTTCTTTTATCTTTGATATCTGTTCTTATTTTCTATTTTTTATGCAATTTTCTTTTCACAGGTCCAAAATTACCGTCATCAACCTACTGTTTTTGGATATTTTGGCGGACTTTACTAGTTATTTATTTTCGCATCAACTGATATTGATTTTATTTCGATTTATTNTTTGTCTGGGTCATTCTCATCGCCCCAGGGGACCCAGAAGGCAGGCGGGACAGTTTCAAAAGATCACCTCATGGGTTACAAGGAAATATACTTTCCTTCCTTGAAGCAGGATTTTAAAGAGATTTATGTATACACAAGGCTTGGAGGCTATTATATGTGGAAGAATCAGAAGGATTAGATTCATCAGAGGAATAACTAACATCTGTACAGAAATTGGAACAATTAGAGTCCGAAAATGAGTGGGCGGAATTGAGAGATTTAATCGGCAAATATATTGGAGTACCTTCAACACATGATTTAGTAGTGAATAAAGTGACTAAGTGACTCTGTGGTCCCATACGATGCTGAAAAACAATGTCAGATTTTCTTGAACAATGATCGAACCAGTTATTATCCTGGGTATGAAGTCTTTGAGATAAAACTACCTGCCTTCTTTACTCCTGGTGTGAAATTTGTCTGGAATACGTGAGAAGCACCAACAGATTTACCGCAAATGGGTTTTTCTCCACATAGTACGGAGATCATTGAAATGGTATATCAAAAAGCCGTTGGGACGGGGAATGACCAATTGAAAGATATTTTGAAAACCAATCTGGAACGGAACCCAAGCGCAATCGAAATTATTCACTGGTTAGAAAGAAGTCCTGGATGGGAAGGACTCGTCGACAGTGCCTTGTTTGAACGAAGTATTGATATTCATACTGGCAAAAACTTGTGCTACAATCGTTATTCCAAACCAGAAAACATTTCAATACTAGAAAACCAGGGTCATAGAAAGCCAGGGTCATGTAATTATTCCAAGGGAAATCATTTGGAGCCGAGACATTGTGTCCGTAACATTGGTGGATCTCCAAATTGAACATCCACCTTCGGTGACAAGACAACAAGATCAAAATTTTACGATGGCCCTACCGAGTAGAACACATCTGGCTGATCTAGCGATGAACGAAAGTCCTGTGGATGGAGCAATACTCGATGGCCAGTACTATGAATCGATAAATCGAATGTATTGTACTTGGGGAATCTATTATGAAAAATTTAATGAAGTTAGATACATTTGTACGCGTTGTTATGAAGAATGGTAATGTTATCATGACCTTGAGTATGCACAAAATATGGTCCGTGAAACTAGCAAAACACCATACGTTCATCTTTGCTCAATATATCAGATGGATTTTTTCACTAGTATGCCAGAAATTACTTGTCTTTAATGTATTGAAATCTATCAACACAATAAAGCGATATATTCTTCGAGTTCGAAGAATTTCCTCTGTATACCGTATGCATGGAAAATATGAATAGAGTACTATGGCAACCCAAATTATAAAATATTAAGTATTCTATCTGCATGGAACTACCTGCATAACAACCAGCAATGAAACCTTTCAAGTGAGAACTCTTTGACTGATGTGGCGGTGACAATCATTGGCAGACTTCACGCAGAACTGAATGAGTAACTTCGACGTTTCATTAGTAATACGGGCGAGCTGAGGAATTCCAATCAATATCGATCGTGGTATTCTATGAAGACGGAATTTAAGTATTTAAAAAAAAGAAAGAAGAGAAAAAATTCATGAAAAGTTTCCTATTTTAATTCATGACAAAATTTTAAATATTATATTAGTATATTATTATGTCAAGATTTTTTATTATATAACAAGAGACTGAATTCGTACTTGAAAAATTAATTAGTAAGGAGAGAAAAAGTAGTGAATATTTAAACATTGCAAAAATTAGTCAATAAATAAATTGATTAAGAAAATATGTATATATATATATATCTATATAAGTATTACCATGGATTTTATTATATTGTGGTGGTTAAATATCTCAACTATTGCTCATCAATTATATAAAATGTGAGAGAAATTAATATATAAGAATAATCAAAAAGATAAATATTATCTTTGAAAATACAATCGAAAATCAAATGAAACAGGAAGATAAGTCTAATTCGCGATGAGGATTTTCAGGTAATTGTGATGTCTAGATTGGATAAATCCAATTAAAAAAATTTTCTCTTTAGATTTATAGTTCTCAAGTTTTTCTAGGAACGCGTGGGTCTATTTTTAGGTGAGAATCTAGGCACCTTGCTGTCAAGTGCAATGTAGATCGCATGAAACTGCGCCATGAGTTGATACATTTTTGTTCCTTTTTACTCTTTCACTCGATCGTCTCATGTGATCGTCTTCCGATCACGACACACTGAACATCGATTAAAATTTGAGAACAATGCTAATACTCGTGGAAAAATCCAGTCTAGGCACGACTATATCTCGTCATGAACACCTAGCAACAACCTTGTCTCTAGCCTGTAAAAAGTAATGCACAAGCCTAGCAGGAGCACTACTTCCAATTGTACTTTTACGGAACCAATTTCCTCACTACCGTTAATCTCAGATTTTCAAAAGAAGTCTGATCCGAATCCTATTTCAAACGTAAGTCAAACAAATAGGATATTGAAATAAGATTCAAAATCTTTAAAAACAGCTTGCATGACCATAGAAGCCTGATTATTAAAAAATTCTATTAAAATCCATCAAATAATCTAAAATTCTTCAAATTCAAATTAGATAGAAAAAGTAAGTAAAAGGAAATAACAAGAACGGAGCGTATTCATTGTAACTTGAGAACATTTTATCATAACTGACCTGCGAGCGGACGACATACGCATCGAATAAAGAAGATGTATTGAAATGTTTAAAAGACTTTTTGAATTGAATTTGATCAATAAATTGGCAAATAACTTTCTTTTCTGAAATTTATTGGAATCAGCCGAGTATCCATCTATAATAGTTCTATTCTCAACCAATTAAATCAGCAGAAGGCATCAGCCAAAGTCGAATATCTTAAGGATATTCGACTTTGGTCTCTGTCCCTGGAGTAGAAAGCATAATTTTTTTGCTTTGAATCGAAATACAGACTATCATTAAGTATTGTGTTTGGACGTAACAATCCTAATGCTCATTTTTAATTGAGGTGCTTTGTGATGTCTCAACTTAAAAAAGAAAAAAAGAAATTTACTTATAACTAAATAAATTAGTCCTGAGAAAGATTTGCTAGGCTTAGAAGCCGTTAGTGGAAAATTCCACGCTAAACAAGTGGCTATCCACCTGCATGGAAGTCATGCAGGCATTATACAATGACAGTTTTTTTCCTATTATTCTCGCCATCACACGTCCGGAGATGATATTCACCAGTGATTCATCTAAATCATAATGCACGGGTGCATAGAGAATAGTTCCGCGCATAATTGACGTCACTTGTTCTTAGCAACAACGCTAGATTTCTCACTGTAAAACGGAATGCAAAAAATCCATCAGACTCACTTCCAATTGTGCATTTAAATAGTAAACTAGATCTGTATAATTTTTCGAGAAGAAAATGGGATTGAGACTCAGTTTCATACATAAGTCTGCATGATAATTGAGAAATATTTAAAACTGCTTGCATAGCTAAAGAAGTTCAATTAACATTGTCTGTCTCCTCAAATCGCTTTTAAAACATAAAAATCGAAAAGCCTCTGGAGGTCAGTTAACCGAGTAAGAAAGAAGATAACAATACAATCGATACGAGCTCATTGCTACCAGAGCGGTTTGTTATCATAACTGACGAGGAATCAATAATTGTACGCATCGCTTGAAGAGAAGGATTATAAAATTAAGGAATCAACTCTTGCTGTAATTTGGATTAATAAATTGGCAATGAACTTTCCTTCCTGCACTTTTATTTAGATAAACCTTGCTCAACTCTACTTCTCATCCAACGGAAAACGTTCAGAAGACATTTGCACATCTAAAGGACATTTGACTTTGGTCTCGGTCCCTGGAGTAAAGAGCATAATATTTGCTTTGACCCGAAACAGAGACCATCAGTAAGTATTGTGTTCAGACGTAACATAACTATGTATTTCAATTTTTAAATTTCTCAGATTTCGTACCTGTAGCAATTTTGAGAAAAAAAATCCAAAGCCCGCAAAAATAAAGATTTTCACAAAGCCCCATTTAGTCAAACAATCAAGAATTACATCATAAAGACACTTCAAGATTCAAGCAATGGAAAAAATCAAAACTTCATTTTTTCTTATTTTTTTACATTAAAACTGAACTAGTAAACTCAGCACGATAAAGAAAGCCTATGCGATATTGAAATTTCAGTCCGGTCTCTCCTCACTATCATGATCCGTCCGAAACTAGATGAAACTGGGATTACCTCATTAAGATGTTTACAAATAACCCGTTCTTTATTACATTCCACCACTTCGCTATTGAATAAAGAAAATTAACATGAAAAATATCGAAGTATTGGTCCTCTGGAATCGATATACGCGCAAGCACATTGTATATTTAAATTCCCTCTTCGCGCACACATACTCATTTAATCTAACCAATGGAAAATAAAAAGCCACGAAAGGTTTTTTCCATCCAAAGTCGATGGACGTGATGATAAAAAGTTGGATTTGCATTTACTCACCTTCCCAAGGACTTTACGTGTGTGTAATAGCCCTTATATTCCCAGAGAGTAAACAGATTTTTCCATTCTAGATCATATATCCCCCCTATCGCCGGCTTTTCACGAAAAATCCGTCTATAGGATTATTTATTTACTCGCATTACGTACATGCCATGCAGCGAAATTGCGCGAAACTATCACTCCAGCACTAAAATCAATATATATTAAACCTGGAAGATGAATTTTCGTTGGTTCGTACAAACGATTTGTGACGATCGTTTCCTCCGACTTGAGTTGAACAATTGTTGATGTATCAACCAACATTACGATTGATTGGTCCCCACTGATTCGTTAACCCTATCATTTTCTCATGGCATTGGAGTCAATGGAGAGTGTTGTAGGTCACCGTTTCTCGACTTCCACCTCTTGAACACTGACCTCTGTCAATGGTGGCAGTGATGTGTCAACTGACACTTGCCTGTGGAGTAAATCGTAATTGAGAAAACTTTGCAAAGGGAGAGAGAAAAAGTTTCTAGTTTCAGAACTGCAGCGAGCAAAAAATTTGACATGAAATCTGTTCACTTCAACTATTTCTTGATATTTCTAGCACTACAATTTTGTTGATCCAAAGAAATTTTGTCTGAATTGTTCCCTCGTATTACCGCAAGATCTTTCAAAACTGGAAATCGAAATGAAGTAGCCAATATTAGGTGCTCGATGTCGGTCCAACGAAACCATAGAGATTGGCTATTGTGCATGTACTATAAGAAGATTGAAAGAGATTTGAAACACAAACAATTCCTTACCTTCCATTCGTCTGCCACTCGTAAGAGTCTGGTGCGGAATTGCTTCTCCCAGCTTTATGAAATTGCTTAGTTCTAGTCTTCATGGTCTCCCTGATTTGAGCCCCATCACAGTTACCAGAGGCTGCGGTCTTGAGACAACTCGGTACAGCATCTCCCATCGTCGGTTTCACCATTCTCCTCGGTAAAAATGGATTCTATCGAACACAAAAGGGAAGTAGCAATCAGATAATTGTCTTTTGTTATCCTTGTATGACTATTCTCAGTAGTGAATTAGTAATTTGCTATGGAATGGATATAATTTCAAATTTGATTTTTTTTTCTAAAAAAAAGTGTCGGTATTATTTCGAATCGAAAATCAGAACTCGAACATGGCGGATATCTCGAACGAATGGAAACAGTACGGCGGTTTTAATGATGAGTGCAATCGTTTTGCGTCGAATTTTCATGAAGCCCGCCTAACAAACAAAAGAGAATTCAATACCATTCTGTGAAACATGAATAAATGAATCATAATTGTGCAAATTATTTATCGTGATATGAAAATTTAATAGCTGGTTAATTGGAATTTATGATTCTCATCGGTCGTATTGCTTTTGCGATGAGAATGATTGTAAGCAATTAATTGAGAAAAGAAATATCGAATCTGACAGGAAATAGGGCTTCAACGCTCCAACTACTTGCGGCCGGTGTGGCGCTAGTGTTTTTTAAAATTCAAATGATGGAATTCTTTCATTACAGTCAAACTTTATATAGTAAAATTGCGCAAATTTTACTGTATGGAAAGGTTACCGTGTAGCCATCCAACACAAATCGGCATAAATATTATTTTCACCAATATTTGCACCACAAAAACATATTTTTTGCGTATTCACTAATAACACGTAAATATTTTTCATTATATTATGAATGAGTAGTGAAAAATTAACATCTTTCAAATACCCTATCAATGAATAAAAATAAAAAAACAATTATTTGTCTAATCAGGAATCACATTTGAATATTGTAAAGCAGTCATTCAATCAATAATGAAAACTAAAAAAATTTTATTATTCTATTAATGGGTAGTATTGACCGTCAAAATTTTCATTACTGTGACAATGGAGAATCATTATCGAAATGTTATTCCCTATATGATGATAAGAAATAAAAACTTTCTATTAGGGGAGGGGAGGGTAAAATGGGCACTTTAGACTTTTTAAAAATTATTCATAACTCAGAAACTAATTTATTAATTAAGATCAGTTTAAGCTCAGCACAAAGGGAAATTGTTGCTTGTATTGAAAAAAAAAGATTAAATTTCATCAACATTTCAACCCGTCATTAACATTAAAAAAAAAACTCGTGTCCATTTTACCCCAACCTCCCCTACTCAATTAATCAGTAATTATAGGTGCACATTACTGAGTACTGATCTAATTAATTATGAAATCAACCTCATTAATTGAAATTGAATTTGATTTTATTATTCACGGCGAAAGAAATCGGGATTTTCTGTTTTTCATTTTCCATTAATATAATAATGAAAATAAATTTTGTAACATTATTGATTGAGAAATCATTTGTTTCTTTTTTCATTTTCATTCCTCACTAGTATCGCAATGACAAATACATATGGTATTGTTATTCACTACGAAAAAAAATTATAATTCAATTTTTTTCATTAATCATGGTATAATAATAAAATATTAAGGATGTTCTACACCCTTTCTGCCAAAATTCACGTTTTTTTAATTTTTCTGGCAAACTTATGATGGAATTGACGTGAAAAAATATAACGTTTTTCCGTTTTGTCATTATTTAATGACTGACGAAATTTTAAGGTGGTGCGAACATTTTCCTGCGTTTTCTCTAAACTTTTAAAAAGAATCACAAAACTGTAGAAAAAACGCATGAAAATTATCACACCACTACGCAGCTTCGTGAGCCATTAAAGAATGACAAACCACAAAGTCGTTATATTTTTTCACGTCGCTCCCATCGATAATTTGCCAGAAAAATGAAAACAACGTCAATTTTGGCTAAAAGGGTGTCGAACATCCTTAATAATGGAAATGATTGTTCTGCCGATCTGTGCCATTCGATGTTTCAAAAACTACTCAACCAATTTAGCCCATAAGAGCCCATCGAACAACCAAAATAAAACCATTTAAAAGCCTGCTGTTGATTTATTGTTGGCAAAAAAGCATAAACACACTCCTAAGTATAAAATCTCTAGTCACATGCTCACTGTCACCTGCTTGTTTCTCCCTGCGCATGTAAACTTAATTTTCAGTCCACTTGCAGGTATTTCCAATAAAACCCGGAAATGGTAACGACTCTAGAGCTTTCATACGCTGAAAATACCGTGAAGATTTACAACGCCTCATAAAACGCGTCATCAATTTTGTGGCGAAGCAGTCCCCCATAAATGTTGTACGCGTTTATAGTGAAATGACGTGTGCTGTTGAAAGTACACCGTTTACAGCGCCAATGGCCTTCCTTGAACCCCAGTTGATATTGACCGATCCATCGCATAACGAGGTCAAGTGTTAGATCCCTTACTCGCCGAAATGTAGAATGAATGGGGCGGAAGAAAATGAAAGTTATGCCTCGTAAAGAGCGTGAGTCATTGGCACCGATGGCGATAAATGTACTACCGGTATAACGTGCGAGGACAGCTGTTCGTATTTATGGGAAATGCGAGGTCGATTTATCCCATTTGGTGACGCGAGTGTTTGCTTCCTATGTTGTGCCAGTCGATAATTGACTGTGAAGCATTTTCTGATGAGTATGGAACGAGATATGGAGATTTCGAATGATTATGGAGGGTTTAATTGACCTGATTAGAGACAGGTTTGATTTAATTCCATTGGTAGTGAGAGTGAAGGGATGGAGATGGAGGGGTTGCGATTATTCTGCACAGAGAAACCCAGTTTTGATTTTCAGAGGTCTACCAGCAATTATTGGTGATACTGGACACTGATTAGAATGACCCTGATCATCAGTGATTGTTATCAGTTGAGTTTGGTGATAGATTTCTAAGAATTAGGCGTGACTCCCTGAAAATCAGGAGAGCTACTCTCATGATTTCCTCAATTCTAATTTCGACCAATGAGAGTTTAGTGTTTGGGCTCACGCGATACTTTCACATCAGTTTTATTTTGATTATTTTTCCCAATCGGCTTTCGACCAGTCAGAACGCAGTATTTGAGGCTACCCGACAGTTTTATTTCGGATATTTCCTCCTAGCTTGTCAAAAGTTCGCAATAGCTCTATAATTTTTTCGGCTCATTTCAGATCGAATCTTGTGTTTGACAGTGTACGGAAATCGGACTATTGTATTAACATAATTAGTTAAATCTTCCGTAAATCACCTCCTGATGTTGTCCACTGTACTTTGATTGGCCAAAAAAATCCGATTGAGAAAAATAATCCAAGAAATATCCCTCGAGCTTCATAATTAATTGGGTATTTCCCTCAAGCTCCCCTGTAAACAAACGATCCGGCCAAGTTTTTTAATCTGCAAAACTTGACACTCTCAGTTGTTTGCAACGAAGCTGTCCTGAAATATCGGATAATTGTGAAGCTCTTGTGGTATTACTACTCGTTAGTTGTCCCAAGTGGATTTCGACTAATCAGAGCGCAGTATTTGAGGCTACCCGACAGTTTCATTTCGGATATTTCCTCCTCGCTTTTGGATATTTCCCAGTAGTCCTTCATTTTTTCGGCTCATTTCAGATCGAATCTTGTATTTGACAGTCTATTAATATGATTTGTTCAAATCTTCCCTAATTTACCTCCTGATGTTGTCCACTGTACTTTGATTGGCCAAAAAAATCCGATTCAGAAAAATAATCCAACCCACCCATTGCAAATTAGTTTTGATTTTACTGCAAAACTGATCCCTCTCGTTGCAATGCAACAAAACATTCGGGAAATATCCGATAATTTTGACGGTCTTGGGATATAATAGCTGATAATTCCAATTGTCGATTTTTTGACTGATTCGGACTAACGAAGTATCTCTTATTCCCTCAATATTCGTTTCTCCTGTTATTGCTTCCGAATAGAAGCATTGTATTCGATGAAGGCGAAATTTCCGACATTCAAGGAAACATAAAAAATATTAACCTTGGGGCAATGATGAATTAAACTTAAAATACGTCGTCATAGAAGTTCTATTCCGAAGCAAATTGATAATTTATTAGGAAAAATATATTGACTGTTGTAACGAAAGGAATTTCCCAGTTGTTTCCATTTACATCGAGAATACAATTCCAGTGAAATCCCACCACAAACATCTGATCGATCGCCAGAACGACACTTGTAACCCATCTGTCTTCCTCATTCACTCTCACATTACTCCAACGACAATCAACTTAAAGGTATCTCCAATCATCACAATTAATCGCTTGTAAGTCATTCAAAATTTTAGAATTTAGAAAATTATCACTTGTAATGTACCGAGATCTTCAAACTTGTTAGATATTTGCCGAAAGTTTTGTTGCAAATAACTGAGGGAGTCAAGTTTTGCAGATCAAAACATTCCAAACGCTTGCACGAGGGATTTTTCTGCAAAACTTGGCCGGATCGTTTGTTTGCGGGGGAGCTTAATGGGTGGGGAGTAATTGAATGGGTTACGAGTGTCTTTCCAGCGATCGATTAAATGTTTCTGGTGGAATCTGAATGAAATTCTGTTCTTGACATGAATGGGGATAGCAGCATAGAGGAATGTTGAAGGGACGAGAGATGTTTCATTGATGTGAATCACTGAGACGATCATAATTAGAGACACATTTGTGAGTGAAAATGGTAGGAATTGTACGTGAAATGCTGTAATACAGAATTATTATTCAAATTTCAAGTAAAAGGTCTTGAAATGATCAGCAAGGACTGTTTTACATGAAATTTCCACGTACACTGTTGGACATTTTTGTCTGATATTTCTGGTACACTTTTTGGAAATTTTTATTGAATTTAATGCTCGCTGAAATTTCAAGGAATTTCCTCATTGAAAACTCCGAATTTCGCGGAAAAATCAGAGAACTGTAAATGTCATATTCTGGAATTTTCAGGACAGTTACACTGAGTACGACTTAAGGGGAAAAAATCATGAAATTTCAGATTTCACTGAAAATTCAGTGTAATTTGGCACCGAATATTCATATTAGATTGGAAATTCAAATAAGTTAAGGAATTCTTATATTTATGCTGCTTAAAATCCTGGAATTTTACTCAATGTTCAGTGACACCTGAAATTCCATGATTTTTTTCCCTTAAGTCACATATTGACCAATCAGAATTAAGGATTAGCGGTCAGGCAGTTTCGCGACATTTCGATATAAAACAACTTCACGTTTCTTTCATCTTTAGTAAATATAGAACAAGATCAATGCAAATGCCATGTAAATTATTAGTTGTTAAAAATTTAAAGATTTTTGTCGAATACTAATGAAAAACTAATCAAAAACTAATTTGTCAAATCCACTAAACTACAAAATATCAAATCCTGCATTTCTATTAGTTGACCTTCAGACGGGGGAAATAATCAGTAAATTTTTCAGTAGTATATGCAGATGAGGACTCCGCATCAAATAGAATTATCTCGTCAATGAATGATTTCTGAAGAGACGATCGAAATTAATTGTCGTTCGCAAATTTCTTGAGCTCTGGAAAAAGGATGATATCTAGCTCTGAAATCATTCATTTCCGAGTGGTAGAGTGAATAATTACCTGAAAGCTGTGCTGCTTCAGCATAGTCTTGATGAGAATCAGCGTGTCTAGTTTTGGTACTCTAGTAACGACCCGTGCAACTTCCTCATCAGTGACTGTAACCGGAAGGCGACAGTTGTCAGCCTCGCTGGGTAGTGGTTCATTTCCATGATTGGTCAGCCACCGGTGGCTCTTAATCTCGTCCAATGCGAGCCTCATTGCCGGATCCTTGGCAAGCATGTGCGATAGCAAGTCACGTAAATCGTCCGATAACACGGGCTTATCGGGAAAGCGCAAGGGCTCGGAGCGAACTGCGGCTTGTACACCTATTATACTTCCTGATCCGTCCCATGGTACTCTTCCGGTTACTAGGGAGTAGAGGGTTACTCCCATGGACCAGACGTCACATAACTATTCGAGAAAAAAAAATACGGATCAATAATATATTTATATTTATGAATGTATATTTATGTTATATTTATGTGACATATGGAGTTCTCTCCGATGCCGGTATGGCAAATTTTACTAAACAGGAGGATAATTTTTGCATCCACAGATGTATTTTTGCCTAAAAAATCGTAAGATATCCACTAAAAACCAGTATTTTTTTACTGAATAACATTTCGCTCCACGTTTACCGTTCGTATATTAAAATTTGTCACGATTTTCGAGGTAATTTTTATCCAACTTTTCTCGCCATGCAGTAGGAGGCGATAGGCGCGCGCGTCCAGTCTAGTAAAATAAAGGACAGTCTGTCAGACTCTAAATTATTGATAAAAGTGATCGACGAACTAGTCACATACGTCTGTGAAATGGAATTGGACAGTTGGCTTCAATCAACAAACCAATTAAACGTCGGCCCAAACAATAAAACAACCGTGCGACCCCGATGGATCCCTCAACTGTCGTTCGTGCAAAAGTTCATCTGGCTGTGGCTTTATTTCATTAACTCTCACACGTACGTACACTTTGTAACACCGAGAGATACGCACGTGCCTTCAATGCCCCCATGCGAATCATTAGATTCAATAAGAGTTCGGTGAACTGTGCTCACGTACGTGTACGAAAACACATTTCTTTAAGCTTTAATGGATCCTATTTTCGAGCGTGATTTCGATGGGATGATCTACGCATGTCATCTTGGCAAGCATTTTTGAATTTGGGGAGGCGGGGAGCCATTTTTGGGCTGAGGAATTATGTATTCACGAATCAATGGAATATCATTTCACCACAATAATTATTTTTATCAAATTTCCTGATTTTTTATTTGTTTAAATGCACTACGATTTCCAATAAAACTTTTTTAAGTGTTTTTCAGATGAAGAAAATTATTATTTTATTGAAAATTTGTGGAAAATTATCATAAGGATTGATATTAAAAATTAAAGGGAAGCATAAACTTGGATGACGTCGACTTCACAACGACTGGAAATTTCCGGACGAATGTGGACATAACAAAGAAACATAATTTTTCATTAAAAAAATATCCCGATTTTTTTTCCGATAACTTTTCTCATTTGATCCTTATCACCATAACGTAAAAACGACCATTAACCAAAATTGTCAGACTACTTGACATTAATTGAAGAACTGGTCAGAGCATCTCATACATTACTGTAAGCATACTATGTAAGGGGTATTCCTATACAGAGCAGGTTCTGCACTCCTGGCAAAGCGCCATAATGGAGCTGAATATTGATTTCTCATTTTCCGTCTCGTTTAACACGTATGGAGATTCTATTAAATTTCCGTCTCATAATTCCAGTTTTTCTTATTTCTTCATTAAATCGCTGGAGCGAATGAACACAAAGGGAAAAAACGTTTCTAGGTTCCAGTAAAAATATCTGAATTGGAGAACGCGTTTGTGATAACATTTAGTGGACAAAAAATTCTGAAAATTCGTCGAAATTGTACTCTTCCTAATAAAAATTTTCGTAACAATGAGCCACAAAAGTTTTCATTCCCAGTAATTTGCATTAAAATCTCATAATTATTTTTGAATTAACCCATACTAATTCTGTGCGCGCGCTTATCTATTCGTTGTGAAAATTAAGAATTCAAATTTATTAAAATTCATGTACTCATAAATGTTTTACAATTATTGATAATGACTTAAAGAAAATTAAGAGGATGAAGAGTGAAACATCAATGAATAATTTTTAATCTTCGATCTTCTTATTTTTACTATTTAAAATAATGTTATTAAAATCTGTAATTGCTGAAAAAGGAGGGGAGAGTTATGAATTGATTTTCTAGAAAATTGAAAAAATCTCTGGAATTCTTACTCATTGAATGTAATTCATACCTCTGTTGTCATTTATGTATGATTTATTTCATGCAATTCTCTGATTCATGATGAATTAATATGAACTGATAATTCGTAATGAATTAATAATTTTTAATTAATCTTCAAGTAACCCTGAACTTTATCGCTCTTGACACTTTTTGGTCCAAGGACTTGATTCATCTTCATTTCAAAAACTCGCCTATTTTTTAAACGAATATTTCTAATTTCGGGGGAGATCGCACTGAATTAAATTATTGGAAAAAAAACGTAAAAATTACGTTTCGAAATGTAATCCGCGAGCGAAGTAAAATTCAATAAAAAGTGTGAGTCGAAACTGAAATTGTACGAATCGCCACGTAAATTCTACCATTTGTTCCGTAAAAATTAATCACCCGTCTGGTGACTCATCGCTGTGGGGACAACAAGTCGTTCCGTAATTTTTCCCTAACGATTGATTGAGAAATTTTACAGAACGGAACGTAGAAATAACTCACCAACTTCATAAAAATTGTTGAACGTTCAAGAATTTTTTATTTTGGAGGCATAATAAGTCGGAAAGTTTCTGCAAGATTTTACTTCTTCGGGAAAAATTACGTGACAATTTCGTACTTTGTTCGGTGATGAACCTGAAAATTCACTGAACGTTTCAGATTTCTCCTCTTCCATTCCCATAAAAATTGCCGGAAGACGATTCCCCATTGCGGATTACGTGAATTGTTCCGTAATTTTCACTGAATATTTGTCTCCATATAGAGAGAAATATTCAGAACATTTATTCTCTCCCCTCCCTGCAGTAAAAACCTCAGAATAAACTAGAGAGATAATACAAAAAAATCTTCTCCATATGAGCGGAAAACAAAAAAATTGAAATAAGGGGTGGAATAACATCCGTTTGTTTTTCCTGCACGAAGCGACAACTGGATGAAAAATCAGTGATACGAGAATAAACGAGAGAATCGGAATTATCCATCGGTATCGATGTCGATACTCACCGTTCCGGAATACTGAGCACCTGGGGTAGTGGTTTCAGGGGCAGCGAATGCTGGTGTACCAGCTGAGCCAGACAGAAGTTCACCAGATGCCCTCAATTCCGCACTGACACCCAAGTCCGCGACCTTCACACGGCCCTCGCTGTCAACCAGCAAGTTACTGGGCTTTATATCGCGATGCACAATTCTCTGGTAATGCACTGAAAACATGAACGCGTTAATTTTTGTCGTTGAGTTTCTCATCCGTACGAAGTCCTTCGGGATGACTTAGAGTTTGGCTGATGATATGCGAATTGAACTTTCACGTAACTTCCGTTTATCATCGTGGAAACGTGAGATGTTTTGCACGCTTGCATGTTTACCATATTCATGTACTGCATGTTTCGTAATTACAGTACACATTCAATAGTGTTTCAATGGATGGAATTAGTTACGGGCGGGTGAAAAGCACATGATGAGAAAAGTTTCATGCGTTTGTGGAACGTGTTGTTGACACAGTATTTATCGACATGTCAAATTGGCACAAGTGCGATTTCTGTGGGGACAAAACATGTCCATTGATTCTTCATCCATTTTTTATACCAATCCACACGCCTGTGTAAATTACCCATTTAGAGACGCTGTGCGTAATCTGTAAATATTACCAGATTGTACAGACTGTATACTCTAATTCGTCAAGGCATTTTTGTTTATTGATTTTTGTGATTTAGTGAATTGTAAAGGCTCTGCTTCATATCAGAATAGTAGAATTTTAACTTTTAGGTTATAGGATCTCGGTGATAATTTTTGTATTGGGTTGGTTTGCAGAGCCTGAGGAAGCTTAAGGTGTTTCGGTTGAAAAGTCAAAATAATGAGAAGAATTTGGAGAATTCATGGGAGAAATTTTTAAGTATGCTGCATCATTGAGAATTCTTGCACATTTTCTTCACATCTCAGTTTTACACGGAGAGAAATATTCAATAAAAATTACGTATCTTTTTCGTAATTCCGGAGCGAAATGTGGTTGTAGGAAATTTTACGGAACTGTCACGGAGTTTTTCCGGAGCGTTCCGTAATTTTTATCTGAATCTACTGTGAAAAATTACGATACCGTCACTTAAAAATTCTGAGTCACTTCCGTGATCGGTGAGTGAATTGTGAGTTCCGTAATTTTTATCTGAATCTACTGTGAAAAATTACGATACCGTCACTTAAAAATTCTGAGTCACTTCCGTGATCGGTGAGTGAATTGTGAGTTCCGTAATTTTTATCTGAATCTACTGTGAAAAATTACGATACCGTCACTTAAAAATTCTGAGTCACTTCCGTGATCGGTGAGTGAATTGTGAGTTCCGTAATTTTTACTGAACATTTTTCTCCGTGTACGAAAAAAAAATAATGAAATTTGAATGTTTTTGTAAACCCTCCAGGTATAACTAGTGGGTGATAAATCAAATCTTTCTTGAGAAGACGTATAAGTTTCAGATTGTTTTCAGATTTCATAAGAAAGTTATTTGAACAAATGATTCGGAAAATTATGAGTTTCGGGCGCGTGATTCGAATGTCAGTGAGCATCATGGAGAAGGTATGGGTTGGACCATAGAACTGAGAGAGAGAAAATACTCGACAGGTTTACCAACTCGAGACGCATTTTAATATTATTTCAATAATTAGAATAACATGCAATAAAAATTATTTGACGCCCGTAGGTGATGAGAAAAAAATCAATCAATCTGATAAATAAAATCAGTATTCAAAAAATGTTCAAGCGTCCACTTAAAAAGTTACTTGAAAATTTGAAATTTTCGTGCTCAGCGATTAAATCAGGGCTCGAGAACAATAAGACTCCTCTTCTGTTTCACCCGCCGGTAATTTACACACGAAACACCTTAAACCTCGATCACTCGAGTCCAGCCGCCAGCCTTCATCCGTCGCACGATTAGCGCAGCGCCGCTGGGTTAAACCGAGCGGGCTGTTGCCACGTGAGCGCTTACCGCTATGCGCGCATTTCAAGTGTGGCAATGAATGTAGCAACAATGTCACTCGCGGGGTCGACAGGGAATCACTCGCACGGGCGGTGCGGCGCGGCTTTTCTATCCGCTCGACGTTTCTTTTCTTTTTTTAGCTAGACAAATTTCCCGAGAAAAAAGCGGACAACGCCAATGCTCCTTAATAGAAGGATTGAACTAGGAATTGTTCAGAATTTTTAAGCGTCGAGAAATACCGTAAAACATGAAAAAACGAAAATAGGAGGCATCGCGCTCATTCAGCCAGTGATCGAGGGTTAAATATTTAGCGAAACGTTGCTCATCGACTATGCATTAGGATGATGTACTGATCTTCTAATTTCCCATGATCTAATATAATTGAAATAAACATGGAAATGAGCAGTAATTTCGCTGTGCGTAATTTTTACCATACGATGTATTAATTTTCATATCGACAGGATAAAATTCACTAGCCACACCGACAATGTTCATTCATATTTGAATGAAAATTTTCTAACGAAGCGTAATATTTGATCTTCACACCTCAAATTTTATTGTGGATCATTCAATTTTTACGGATTCTCGGGATAAAAATGGATAGAAGAGGATAAAGAGGAAACGGGGAAAATTGAGGAATGTGAAATTAAGTATGAATGATTCGATTATGATTTATCTTTAATTGACATGTCGGCGAAGAATTCCCTTCAAGTGTGTATTCGAAGTTGAATAAACGAGATTATTTAATCATTCTAGGTTGCGTCAATTAATTCTCATTATACGAGAACACAAAGTCAGTAGCAGAGTTTGCAGTGAAACTTTTAACCAATTCAACTGAATATTCAAGAAAAGGGACAAATCAGTTTATCCGCTTTAAACCGAATTCAAAATAATCGCGTAATTTTGGAAACTGCTTCTAAAAAGAACTCAATTACTTTATTGAATTGAACTTATTTGTTTATGGGTTGGGGAAATACTTTCGGAAACTCGAAAATCGAAGCAGAATTCATCAGAATATTTGGAGCAACGTTAATGAAATTATCCTATGTAAAAATTATCGAACATTTTAGGTGAGCCCAATTAAAATTTAATAAATGGGTTTGGTCAATTACGTTGAATATCGTTATCGTTATATGAATTTTCCTGATGCACGGAAACCATAGCATGAGTGATTTCAAAATTGAAACCACAAAATAAACAAATTGAAAATTAAATTAAAGCAAAAGGGAATGGAGAAAACTGAATTGATGGTATGAATTTCTCTCATTCCAATTGACACGAAAATAAAATCGACAATTAAATTTATTTTGAGGTAATTTTTAATTTTGTGAAATTTTTAATGTGAATACGAAATTTAAGAACAATTTCGTATTCAACCCAAGGTAACATTGTTTTGAAAAAAAATAGAATTTTAATGAAAATTTTCCAGAAAGTTTTACCATCAGTGCAGAATCAAATTAAATTATCATATTCTCACGTCAATTGAAAATATTTACGTTTTCGAAAAAAGGTTTTCTCATAAGAAAAATGGAAAACGCGATTCAAATTAAATTATTCTTTGTAAAAGGAGATCGAACATTTTAGGTGAGCCCAATTAAAATTTAATAAATGGGTTTGGTCAATTACGTTGAATATCGTTATCGTTATATGAATTTTCCTGATGCACGGAAACCATAGCATGAGTGATTTCAAAATTGAAACCACAAAATAAACAAATTGAAAATTAAATTAATGCAAAAGGGAATGGGGAAAACTGAATTATTGCTATGAATTTTTCTCATTCCAATTGACATGAAAACAAAATCGACAATTAAACTTATTTTGAGGTAATGTTTAATTTTGTGAAATTTTTAATATGAATACGAAATTTAAGAACAATTTCGTCTTGAACCTAATGTAACATTGTTGTAAACCTGTGAACATTGTTGTGTTGTTTTAATGAAAATTTTCCAGAAAGTTTTACCATCAGTGTCGAATTGAATTAAATTATTATATTTTCACATCAATTGAAAATATTTCCATTTTCGAATGAAAGTTATCTAATAAAAAATCTACAAAACGAGATTCAAATTGAATTGAATGACTTTTCTAAAGGTATATAAATGCAGCTTACAGTATTCCACTCCCATGACCACATCTCGAAAATTCTTTCTCGCAGTTTCCTCATCCAGTGGTTTATCCGTGGGCAACTGCAGCACTTCGCCCTTCTGCACCAACTCGAACACCAAATACAAATTATCCTCGTCGGGGTCGTCCAACACCTCAACAAGTTTCACCACATTTGGATGATCCAACTTCTTCAACAATGCTATCTCACGGTAAACTTTGGCAAGTGGATTGGATGCTCCCTTTCTCCCCGGTGCCATCCGACCGAATATTCCAGCTTTTTTCATCAGTTTCTTTTTACTCAGTATTTTCATCGCATAGTGAGTCTCATCCTCCTCATTATATGCGAGTTTCACGATTCCAAATGAGCCCTGAAGATGACAAATTGATATTACGTCTCGATAAGTCACTTCTGATTGAAAAATTTCATGCAGTAATGGAGAATGGAGGAAATGGCTTCCTTCCAAATCTTGTCTCTCTATATTGTAAAAATCAAAATCGACTTCTGGTGATGAGAATTTGGTACTCGAAATTAAGACTCCAAAATTAAAAGTCACAAGGGTTAAAATAACGGTCATAAGGAAAAGAATAAGGATCATGAGGCTCCGAATAAGGGTTACAAGGATCAGATTAAGGGTCATGAGGATTAAATTAACGGTGATGAGGGTCAGTATAAGGGTCGTGAGGGTCAGAATAAGGTTCACGAGGGTCAGAATCAGGGTCGCAAGGGTCAGGTTAAGGGTCATGAGGGTCAGAATAAGGGTCACAAGGGTCAGGTTAAGGGTCGTAAAAGTCATAATAAGGGTCGCAAGGGTGAAGTTAAAGGTCATGAGGGTCAGCACAAATGTCACAAAAATCAGAATAAGGGTCTTGAGTGTCAGAATAAGGTTCACGAGGGTTAGAATAAAGGTCAAATTAAGGGTCGTGAGAGTCAAAATAATGATCCCAATAAGGGTCACAAGAGGGAGATTAAAGGTCTAAAAATGGGTCACAAGGCTCATGATAAGGGTCATAAGGCTCATGGAGGTTAAATGGGGGTGATATGGGGATTTCTGTTATTTTTTTTGTTATTAAATATTACTTATATGCTTATTTACTTATTTAAATTACCTAGAGTTATTTTGTCATTTAATTGGTTACTTTGATCATGGTACACAGAAAGAAAGAAAATATTTTCTTAAACTAGTCACACTTGAACCAAGAAAATCGCAAGTTGATAATTGCCAACATAGAAATTGTTTTCTTTGCACATACAAAAGTTTTTTCATCAGTCTTTTTTTACTCGGTATTTTCATCGCATACTGAGTCCGCTCTCCTCCTTATAGATGAGTTCTATAATTCCAAATGAGTCTGAAGATTAAAAATTGATATTAAATCTCAGTAATTCACTTCCGACTGAGAAGTTTCATTCATTAACGAAGGAAATGCAGAGTGAAAGAAACTTCTTCCTTCCGAACCTTTTATGCGATGAATCTGAGAATATTATACAGATATTCCTGTTTGAAAGTCTTCCCGTAAAATGATTTCGTTGCATATTCTTTTTAAGGATTTTCTTCTTTGATTATTTTAGCGCCGGCTATTCCGTTATTTTGTTAGTAAAGAATATTTACTTGGTACTTTGTCATTTAATTGGTTACTTTGATGATGATACACTTAAAGAAAAGAAAACATTTTCTGAAATTAGTCATGTTTGAACTGAGAAAATCGCAAGTTGATAATTGCCAACATGGAAATTGTTTTATTTGATCGTACGAAAGTTGTTTCATCAGTATTTTTTCCTCAGTATTTTCATCGCATAGTGAGTCCACCCTCCTCGTTATAAGTGAGTTCCATAATGCCGAATGAGTACTGAAAATGAAACATTGACACTACGTCTCGGTCATTCACTTCCGACTGAAAAGTTTCATTCATCAAAGGAGTAAATGGAGAGTCGAGGAAACTTCTTCCTTCTGTACTTTTTATGCGATAAATTTTCAAAGATTACACGCACGAAAAGATTTAACAAAATAACTTAGCGCATTCACTAGACAATTCTGTTGAATTTCGATTGGACTTTTTATTAGTTTTTGGTCGATTCTGTTGAAATCTTCAATAGAAAATATTTTGTGGAAAAAGGTAATAGAATTCGAATTTTCTATAAGACGTATTCTATTGAGATATTTTCTGTAGAATTTCCTCGGCTCAAATTTTCTACGTTTTTTTTTGTGTGATTGTCGTAACCTCCTAGAACCTTCGTATGATCATCATGTGATCCCTACATGAAGAGAAAAGTTGGATAAAAAGTGCCTCGAAAATCGTGACAAATTTTACTATAGGAATGGTAATCGTGGAGCGAAATGTAATTCAGTGAAAAAATACTGGGTTTTAGTGGATATCTTACGATTTTCTCGGTAAAAAATTACATCTGTGGATGCAAAAATTATCCTCCTGTTTTGTAATACTTCCCACACCGGCAGGGGATTGTTGATTTTGTATCGTCGGAGGATTCCGTCGCTCCCCATGACCTTTGCAATTTTTACCAAACGGATTCCGTAAAAACTATTCTCTGTTACAAAAAAATTATACGAAAAACTGGAGCAATTATTCACGTTTGGGATAATTTTTGATGGCATGCAGGGTAAATTTTCCAGTTTCCGTACAAATCAACCTCACGTTTAGTTTTTATCAAAAATTTCTCTCCGTGTATCTTTGAGAATTGGGTACAGCCGCAATTAAGAGTGACTCTCCCTTAATTCGCATTAAACGAATAATTTTCTCATGGAGAATACGTATCGTAGTATAAAATAACGAATAGGCAGTGCTAGAAAAAAAATTCCTCTCTATCACGAAAAATATTAAAAACAATTTTAATATTTTTGCCATTTAATATCCCCTATTATATTACTCTATTAAAACTTATGGCTGAATCAACTTTGAGTTGAAACAAATTCTAATCAAGATTCAGTCAATGTCTCCAAAATAAATTGACCACGTTTAGACATGCACGAGCTTTGAATAACTTTCCGGAAACTCGAGTATCCCTGCCTGGAGAGAATTTGACAGTGTCCCAAAAGGACCCTTGATATCCGACACACGAAGACAAATAATAAAGGAAAGAAAAATGAACGTGTCACAGAATGATGAGGGACTTCAAGCTCTTGTAACCTCTCTCAAGTGGGCCCTCAGGGATAGCTTTTACGACTTTACTGCTGAGACAATCGTTTGCAATCGAATTTCCTTTAGATTTCATACACGAACATAACTTATTATTGAGTTTCCCAGACACCAAATGAGCCTGGTAATAAGTTGAGAGCACAGAGAAAGCTGCACAAAGGAAATTGCGAGTATTTGAAACAACTGCAAAATTGCTTTTCTCGCAACATAGTCAATATGTTTGCTAATAAATTAGCAATTTGCTTCCGGATGGAATTTCTAAGAAGATGTATTTTAAATTTCATTTGATTCATTGAATTCAACATTGTCTTAACGTTGGGAGCCAACATTGCCTCAACGTTAGAATTTTTTACCTTCCCCAGAATATTAGTTTCAAGATAAATATTTCCATCAACAGAGGACGCAATCAACCTCATGATCAAACTCGATCAAGATGGCATTGGGAAGAATATTTTAAATTATAATACCGAACTTGCAGGAAGCTCAATTCTTTCTAATTCCCCTATCACGGGAAAATTATATGACCTAGTCATATAAACCTCATATGACTCCCATATGACTCTTAGATGACCCCCACTTAAAAAAAAATTTGGTTGAATTTTCCGAAAAGAGACCTAAAATTCGATTTAAGTGAAAAAAGTCAATGGAATTTCGAGTTTTTCTGAAAATTCAAGTAAAGTCCTCTGTTTTTAGCGGCAGGAAGATGGAAATTCCACGATTTACATGAATTTTCAATTGGAAATTAATATTTACTAGAGAATTTCCTTGAATTTTCAGGGCATTCATTTCAGTCCCAAACTTGAAATTCGAAAATTGAAAAAAATCATGCAAGTTCTCGATTGGATTCATTTAAACAATTATTTTTTCGAATATGAATATCATATTCAAACTCCTGAGGCCATAATTAGTTATCCTGATACAAATAATTAGCAATTTCGTATTTAACGAATACAATGCTTTTATTCAGAACCAAAATAATCGAACAAAGTTTCTTCCTTTGTTTGAATTAAGTTAATGGAAGGCCGTTAATTGCCATTACTTGCTTCCAAGATATTGGCTATTTTTATTAGACGTATCGGGTGGCTAATGGATTCTTAATGCTCCCAAGAGCTTAAAGGAGTTATCAACTCGATTTACAGCATCCCAAGACAAGCATTATCTGGGGAAATATTCCATGAACTACTTATCAAATTACTTTATGCAATGAATGAAAAATTCGGATGATATACTCGACAATTCAGGAAGTGTCTCAAATTAATATGAAACGTTCTTGAATTTATGGGAAGTTTCATTATGTCTTTTCTTCGCGAAATTATTCTTATTGTCAAATCGCTTTCCAAAAATAGATCCATTCTAAAGCGATTCAGAAGAAACAAACCATCGCTCGTCAACCCAAATGAATTCCGAAGGAACGTCGATAATTTCTTTCGCACCACAATTTTCCCGGAAATTTATGCAGAAACTTGAGAAATTGCCCTACTATAATTCGATAACTCGCCCACAACAATCTACCGTGACTCCAATATCCTACAAAGTAATCCCAACAATAAATGGTGAGCAATTACCTGTCCTATATTGTCAAGCAGCTTGTATTGATTCAGTTGCAGTGCACCCTGCCTATTGTCTATGGAAACCCGTCTACTCTCCCGCAGTGGTCGTCTCCGTGTCCTCGGGGATCCCTGTGGGCTGCCATACGGCGAATACGGACAGTAAGGATAGATCGGTCTGATTCCAACGTTTCCATTGTCCCCGAGCAATCTCTGCGCCATACCCACTTCACCAGGTGATGATAGCTTTCGCACCGGTGACAATCTCCTCACATCTAACGTCTGTACGTCGGCCACCTCCTGCTCTCGTTCTGCAGGAGGAATTTTCAGAAGAGGCACACTATCAGCATGAAGAAGCCTCTTGTCTTCTGGCGATGCTAGTGTTGCCGAGGGGGACTCATCTTCCTCCTGCCTTGTTATCTGCAAGGAGATACGCCTGTCCATGAGCCTGGGCTCTCCATCCCCTCGATCCTCGGACTGTGTCGACAGTAGTTGATAAACTTTGATGGATTTGGGAAGGACTCTCTGGGCGATCTGATCCTCTTCCCTTCCCGTACTTCTTGTTTCATCGTCTTCGTTCCTTTCTTCTGACGATGAAGAAGTTCTCACAGCGTTGACAACAATTATCGTGCTGCTGTCCTGAGAAGCCACCTCCGGCGGCGAATTCTCGGATGGCTTCTCCGGAATCCTCTCCAATTCCGGGTTCGACGAGCATGGAGAACTGAATTGATGGACCACTCGCTTCCTTTGGCGACTTCTGGGACTGCCTGGTGTCTCATCTTGGTGCCTAGCACTCTCCGACCTCGTTATCAACTTTTTCCTACTCCCTTCCGGATTCTTCTGACTGTCCAATGTTTCCCCAGTCTCAGCACGAAACTCCTCCGAGGACTTTAGTATCTGCGAACCTTCAGGCGATATCAGCGTTGAACATCCAAGCATCACGCGGCTGTTTTTTAACGCTGCATCTCCTGTGGATCGAGTGCGGATGGCTTTATTTCCGGTCAGGGTCGTCTCCGAGAGTCTGCTGCTGAGCTCTCTAGTGTCCTGGAGGTGCCTCGTTCTATCAATGTCATTGGGCTCTCTATCCTCATTGATATTTGGCATCTCCACTGTAATCCCACTGATTCGCTTGCACATTTCCGTTTCGTTATCATCAAACTTGTCGAATATTGATTTTTTCGCTGATCTTCGTCGCTCTCTTGGCACTTGTATGTCAGGAAATGTGTCGAGCTTAGTCAACCCCTTGAGGTCTTCCTGGAAAGTGTCCCGAATCTCCTTGAGCTCCTCGATATTTGGCATCTCGATACCAGCGGTGGAGACTTTACGATAAATCTCCGTTGTTGGCATTCTATCGGTCTCGTCGTCTCTACCAAATCTGGTGAATCGCTTTGTCGAGGATCTTCGTCGCTCACGCCAGCAGGAGAGGGCTTGAAGGGCATCAGTTGTCGAGTTTCTCCTGTCCTCATCGAAGGTACTCAGATTGCTGGAGTAACCGCTGCTCTCTCGTCGCGGTCGGTAATACTTTTCTAATCGTTTTCGGGGAGGTGGGTCTTCATCAAGGCTCTCATTGTTCTTGTGGAAGGAAGCTGTGGACACCGTAGGGATTCTCCGTGATGGTATGCTGGGGAGAATTTCCGCGTTCTCGAAAGCTTTTTCGAACAACGTCTCCTTGATTCTCGATAGGGCTTCGTCCTCCTCCAGGCACACAGCACTATCCTTCCTCGAATCTAGATCAACCTCAGGAAAGTTGTCTGTGTCAATGGAATTCGATACAGAATCTTGGTGCGAACTGTCTCGAAAGTAGGATCGCCACTTTATTTTTGTATTCACTCCCTCAACGCTCGCTATTTCCCCGAGGGTACCAATGCTACCTGACAATTTGTCCCTCACGGATAGAATTGTTGAAATTACACTTCTCTGGTTACTGGTATTTGATACCTCCGGCGAACCGGCACTGCCAGCTACCCATGTGATTTGTCGGAACTCTGACACACCCGGCAATCGTTTATCAACACTGACGATTCTCTCGGGTGCAATTTGGGCATCAGTCACCCTTCTTGAGTTCTTCTGGATGTCCTCAGGTGTTGGAGGACTTTTGCTTAGAGGCGTTTGGGCTCCAGTGACATAGGTAACAGGACTCCCATGAGGTGCTGGCGATATATCCGGCAGAGGGTTTGTCACTTCCGGAGATGTCGCTGGTAGCCGACGGCAGGAGGAGCCTGGAGACTCTTCGTCGACTGCTACGTGCCTGAAATATGAAAATTAGAATTTATATATGAGGGCATTTGTGGTGAGATTGGGGTTTTTGAGTATTGTTCATGATGTGTCTAGTTTTTAGCTTTGATGAGCAAGAATTTTTCATTCAGGACAGAACTGTTGAAGAAGTCTAATGGGGAGCGCAGTTCTATTCAAACCTCTCGTTTACGATCTAATTTTCATAAAAAATTCGGAAATTTTTACGGAATATACTCTATACATTTCTTTTTCGAATGGCGTAAACGAAATTTCGATTCAATGAATTACTGATTTGTTATTAACAAATTTCCGACAATTGCCGATCTTGGCAACCGGTTGTTATATCAAACTAAGATCAGTCTTGAAAATTCCAGAAAAATCAGTATAAAGGAATACCATAATTGTCCAACTTATTGGTGAAAGATCAAGATTATCATGACTATTCAGATGATAATTTTTCGATCATCGGTGAAGAAACTGTCGCGTATTGAATAGCGAATTCGGGTAGGCGGGAGACCGTCAGCCGATGAGGACACACCGCGCGATATGGGCGTCGTACTTGAGGGATTGATATTATCGAATGATGTATTGTAGTTAGTATACTAGCTGGCTATATACACTCATATACACACACGCACCGACCACCTTTACCGAGAGAAGATGATTGACGGGAGCACGAAACTCCTCGCGCCGTCTCACTTGCACTCATTGTGTCACACGTATATTTTTTATTTATTCCGTTCAAGGATGTAGTACACCTTTTCAGCCAAAATTCGTTTGACGCCAAATGATATATCGTTTTTGCGTTTTATCATTATTGACTGACTTACGAAATTTCATGGTAGTGCAATCATTTTCCTGCATTTTTTCTAAAGTTTTGTGAATTTCCGAAAAGTTTTAGAAGAAACGCAGGAAAATGATTGCACGCACTGCGAAAATTAATGTCTGAATTTCAGACACTTTTGTAGACACTTTTCAAACACTTTTGGGACGATTTTGTAGAGACTTTTGAGGCATTAAAATGTGTCTGAATCAATGGAGATATTTCAATTTCAGACACCAAGATGTCTGAAATTAAGATACAGACATCAGTTTTAGACACAAGCGGTGTTTGCAATTTTCAGCCATCAGTTAGATTTTCAGACACGGTTAAAGATTCAGACGTTTTTTGCCATCTGTTATCTTAAATTCAGATGGTTGTCAGACACCTAGTTTTTGCAGTGGATGAGTCAACTTTTCAGACATGAGAAATATCTTAAAAATTAATGTTTGAATGGACTTTGCCGTCTGAATCAGGTGAGATATCTTAATAGTGAAATGTTTGAATCGCTCATAAATAACTGAATTTCAGACATAGAAAATATTTGAAAATAAATACCTGATATTTTTCAGACACAAAAAATGTCTACCATTTTCAGACAGAAACGGTGGTTGAAATTTTCAGACATTAGTCCGATTTTCAGACACTTTTGAAAATTCAGACGTTTTTTACCATCTGACATCTTAAATTCAGATAGCTGTCAGACACCTGGTTTTTGTGGTGCGATCATGAAATTTCGTCAACCATTAAGTAATGATAACACGAAAAAAACGGCATTTTTCACGTCAATCTGACCAACAATTTACCAGAATAATTCAAAAAACGTGAATTTTGGCGAAAAGGGTGTAATACATCCTTGAGGGATTCGGCTGTCTTGCGAATCCTGAAACATCTATAACCGACAGTCGGTTACGAACCTCATACCGGATTACATCTGTGTTTACTTGTTTATATATTTCTAACGTTTTTCAAATACACTGTGATTACTTTACTAAACCGCAATTATCAATGAATTTTACATTCCGACAACGCCTCGATTATTACTAGAGTGTTCCGTTAGCGATAAAGTAAACAGACGAGAAATTCTCATTTGAACCTGAATAACTGGGGGCATTATGAACACATGCAAATTATAAATACACCATGAGATGAATCTCATTAATTTGCTAGATTAATCTGCTGGATATCAGGAATTATCTCGTGATATGTATTCGGCGGAATGAAAATTTCAACAATTTATGAATTTCTGACCGGCACGAGACGGCGAAAATATCAACTTTTTAATAAATAATTGATGGGACTATTAAGTAAACCACATGTAGTCCACAATCTTTCGAAGCGGATTGTAATTAATTCAAACTGTCCTGTCCATTAAAAAATTTCTTTGCGGTTGAGTGCAAATACTGAAGATTAAATGAGATTTTTGTAATCCTGTACAATTTTTATGTGAATTCGCCACCCACGGTAATCTCCCTTATAATGGACACTGCGGTTTTTGCGACCCCATCTGAATCCCTCCACTTTTGAAAGCTCTGAGTAACATTTTTGAAGCCTCTATTCCGCTAATTGAGCGTCGTACTATAATTTGTACCACTTTCTTTCTCTCACTTGTATTTCTCCAATGTTCGATATACTGTTGGATTTTTTTCTAATTTTCGTGTTTTTACTTGAATTAAACAATAACTGCAGTTGAAGTTTTAATGTTATGAATTTGAATTTAATTGAAGGTCAAAAGTTTCATGAAATTTTGCCTTCACGTTAAAATTGAATAGAATAGACATTTTTATTTAAAAAGAATTGGAATTCGAATTGAAATTTCATAGAATGTTTCAAAGAAAGCCCTTTTTTAATGAATAATTTTGAATTTTCGAATCCTCAAATTCCAATTCTTCCCGAGCCCTCAATGTTTGAAATTTCATTCTCATGTCCACTCAAAAGTGGTAAATCTCGTTATAGTAACTCGATACATTTCCGATTGCGCGATAAAAATGATTGATACCACTATCTAATAATAAAAACCACCCATCAAGCGGAATTGACTGTAATTCAACGTCAAATGGTTCAAAAAATTCTGCTTCACGTAAAAAATCAGTAGAATGGAGCTTTTCATATAAAAATAATCAGAATTGGGTTGAAATTCTAATAAAAATTCGATAGAATTTTCCAAAGAAACTCATTGTTTATTAGCAATTTCGAATCTTTGAATCCTCAAATTCGAATTCTTTCCGAGCCCTCAATGTTTGAAAATTCATCCTCACGTCCACTCAAAAGTGGTAAATATCATTATAGTAACTCGATACATTTCCGATTGAGCCATAACAATTACGGATACCACTATCTAATAATAAAAACCACCCATCAGGCGGAATTGACTGTAATTCAACGTCAAATGGTTCAAAAAATTCTGCTTCACGTAAAAAATCAGTAGAATGGAGCTTTTCATATAAAAATAATCAGAATTGGGTTGAAATTCTAATAAAAATTCGATAGAATTTTCCAAAGAAACTCATTGTTTATTAGCAATTTCGAATCTTTGAATCCTCAAATTCGAATTCTTTCCGAGCCCTCAATGTTTGAAATTTCATCCTCACGTCCACTCAAAAGTGGTAAATCTCTGTACGGTAACTCGATACATTTCCGATAGCGCCATAAAAACTATGGAAACCGCTATCTAAAAATAAAACCCACCCATCAATAAACATGATTTTCCCCAGAGGTGATTATCATACAACACTCGAGGCGTGCGTCAGACTAGAAAGAACTAGATCATGGTATTTATCACGGCTGAATTACGACTAGTACCCTTCCAAGTTACAAAATTAAATCCAATGTGTTGGCTCAACAAGCTTGCCCTTCTGAACAAGGAAAATCGACAAAATAGATCTTCAAACGAGAAAAGTAAATGCGATTCTTCAAGCCTCTTTCTCCCATCAACTTTTAGACGTGATCGGGATTCGGAAGTGCACCATCTGCGTCTTTACCAAGGAAAAGAACTGCAATGTTGACTCCAAAGTCAAAGAGTATTGCTTTTGTTTGTCGTTTTTATTTTCGTCTTTTCTCCTCTTCTCGGGTTTTGTTTCTCTCTCGACCATCTGTCACTTGTTTACCACTGCGTAATTACACCTGGAGGGGGTCTGTCTTTATACCGGTTCAGTCATGATTTTATTCGACATTCGAGTGAATTCTTGAGCTCCGGAGGTAAAACATTGTTTCACGGATTGCTATTCCACTGTCTCCCTGATTTATTCAACCTCAATTTTGTTCTTCTTTGATAGTAACGATGTTTCATGCATTTTATATCTGTGAAGAAACTATTGGAATATACGTCGTTTAAAATATAAAAAGCTCAATATCTGAAAAGTTCTGCATTTTTACCATTCCGTATTTTAAATTGAATTTAATGAATCGTTGAATTCAATTCAAAATACATCGTCATAGCAATTCCATTCGGAAGCAAATTGCTAATTTATTAGCAAAAATATATTGACTATACTCTGACGAAAGCAATTTCTCGTATTGCTGAAAATAAAACATTTTTCTCTCTGCGTCGTATTGCATTTTTTCTACCAACAAATCTACACAACCCGTATTTTTTCATTTTATTATTTTGGTTCCATATGTATACCCTCTCGGGTTTTTACATTTTGTTCCCTTCCCTATCTGCGTTACCATGGGCCGTCTTACTTTATCCTCAACTGCACCCCATTCGGGATTGGACTGCCAGGGAAACCATGGAAAACCTCAGTCGTGCAACCGGCCGATAATGCAGAGATTCCACTGTGTCCAATAGTCACACTGACTTATTCGTGCCTAGCGACTGTAGTCCCACGCGGTTAGGTGCCCCCAAGCGGACACCCATCCAAGTACTGGACAGACTGAACGCCGCTTAGCCTGGATGACCGCCGGAGCCACACACTTCCCGCGCGACCACTACAGCCACTCCGTATTTTTTCATATTTTTCTATTTTTTTTTTTTTTTTTGAGTAATACGCGGAGAGAAATTTTGGATGAAAATTATCCTAGCGTTCTATAAAAGTGTATCATGAGTCATCGTTTCCTCATCTCCTTCCCGTAATTTAGTAAAAATTGGTATATGATGATCAAATTTTATTCTGACTTATTCTCTTTAGAGAAATTTTATCCTAACGCATAATAAATTTTACCCTACCGGTACAGTAATTTTTACTCTATCGGCACGGTAATTTTTATTTCTATCAGGATAAAATTTCTCTAGCGTAGAATAAAATTTGATCATTATATATTAATTTTTACTAAATTTCGGGGTGGAAATGAGGAAACGATGAGTCATGATACACTTTTATAGAACGGTAGGATAATTTTTATCAAAAATTTCTGTCCAGACTGAAGTCTGTTTATCTACATGAACAGAAATGAATATGAAATATACAATTGAAATTGAATAAAAAATTGGAATTGAATTGAAACATACAATTGAATTGATTTGAATATGGAATATGCAAATTTAAAAAAAAATTGTGAAATCACTCTATTGACGTTCGAAGTCAGAATAGTTTGGAAAAATAGAAAAGGGCGGGTGGATAACGACAGATCTACATTGGGTGAATATGTTGCGTTTCTCTTGTGAAATTAGCAATTTAGATGGCCCCTGGAGCGACAGTTAAAATATGAAATTTAAATTCGCAGACCTATGATGCGGGACACGTAGCCTTCTCCGCGGGAATGTACGTTGTATATTATGACATTATAGATATGTAGAAAAAGAGGTGGATTGGATTCTTGAGTGGTGAGGAAGGTGAACTGCGTCATCCCACGACACTGAGCGACTGTGTGAGTATCAGATGATGGGACGCATTCAGTTGTCAGACGCAGATACTCTAACTTTTCGAGGGAAAACATGCATAAATTGCGCGGTGGCTTTTTCGGCGGTATTTATCGATTTATTTGGCGACGGGGTTATGTAAGCGGCGAGACCGTTTAGGGGTAAACTTCACGGAAAGAAAAGTCGAGGAAAAATTAAAAACAATAATAATTGAATTTTTATTTGCGATTATTGAGAAATCAAGATCAACTCAAAAAAGAAGAAGGAAAAGGAGAAATTTACGTATTTTAAGGTAAAAAAATATGCATCCCATAAGGAAAGCACATATATGAGATATGTAGGGGAGGCGATGCCTGTACCTCTCAGCAGCCAATCCCGTTCACCTGATTTTCTCCGCAACCACTTACTTTTTCCACCTACTTTTTTCCCACTGTCTTTCACTCAATCTAAGACCTCTACAATCAGTAGGGGAGCTGGTGCACGTACAGCCTCGCACTCTACAAGGGGTCATAAACGGTTAGAATGGGTTCTTCGAGGTGTTTACTCGAAGATGTGAAGAGGAGAGCTTTTTTATTAACATGAAACATATTTAATTATGTAATTCAATTTCCATCGGCCAGTGAGCGATGGAATTGAACTTTGAGGGTAATACCGCCCGGCATGCGTCCAATACCGCCCACCTTGTTTTGATGCCTTTTTTGAGCAATGCAGACCAACTGTTATAATTTTTCCTATTTTCATCCTTCGTTTCCGTTCTTTGGCTTCATTTTGAGAAAGATTTCATGTGAATAATAATAAATTATCCTGAATTTACCCGATGTTCCAGCGGCCACCGATTACTCCAAACAATCGAGCTGTCACTTGACCGCCCTCTAACTGCAGCGTCTAGCAGCCCTATAGAAACCCTGGGCGGCATTACCCACAAACTCTGGGCGGAATTACCCACAAACGCGGAGGCTGATAAAATAGCCAATAATAACTGATGAAGATATTTTTCTGCTGTTGAAACGGTCGCAATGGATGTGGAAATGTATAACGAACATATATTTCGCACTCCATTCAATTATGGACCACCGGAAAGCTTGAAAAATCTTACATTCTGGGATCGAAATATTTTGGGA